GTCAATTTTTAATGACCAATTCTATTAAAAATATAAAAATATAAATAGATGGGTAAAATCTGGTAGGACGTCAAAATCTGTCAAAATAATACTAAACTTAAAATTAAGTCCAAAAACAGACGCCCTCTGGACATCGATATGCAGCTGTCAAATTAATGATCATAAACGGAAGTACACTGGATGTCCGAATACGGATGTGGGCGTTCTGGCCCTCAAATGGATCTAAAGTGGACGTCCGTTGGACTATGTGTGTTATTTGGACAGTCAGATAACCTAGTAGAAAGTATCACTCATGATTACTGTCATCCTTAATAATCAGAACAGATTTATTCTCTGACTAGTTACAGAAGCTAGAATAAATAAATAAACCTCAATATATAACAAAACCACTAACGCACAAAAGAAATATTAGAATAGCCACTCGGAATGCCAATGGTATCCTCCAAAAACAAACTGATATCCAAGTTCTTGTATGTACAAAATATAGATAAATGTCTAATTTCTGAGATCCACCTTATAACACAGTCTACATTAAATTCAGAAGATATAACTTCTATCACACTATCAACCCATCAAATGCAACAAGAGGAGAGAGTGCATTAATTATTAAAATTTTCCCACTATGCGGAACCAGGCATCCAGGAACCAGAAAACCAGGTAACCATTAACACTAAGTCCGTAAATATATTTTTATTTAGTGGACATATTCTAGTGCACTGAAAACTATGTTGTGCAATATCCAAACGAGTGGTGTGACAAAACTCCTGGCCGATTAATCCTGCTATTTCATATTGACCTATTCTCACACCAGGGTGAGATTTCGTCCACAAGGAACAATCTTCATTGTAACAGGCGTTAAAATATTTCATAAATGTCCTTTCCAATGGCTGGATTGTATGCGTGGTATGAGGTGGAGTGCTAAGCATGTGGATATGGTTTTCATGAGCATCTAAAATCACTTGCAGATCTTTGTGGCTTGCGTGACCATCCAAAATTAAAAGAATAAGATTGGATTTACTCGGCTGAGTATGTTTAACAAAATGCTTTAGCCATGATAGAAATACGGTCCATTTGTTTAAGCAAAACCAACAACTTTAGGTGCATGGTGCATTAAACATCAACCTATCATTCATTCTTTGTCGCTTAAATATAAGTAGTGGAGGAATAAATGTACCAATAACATCATACACGCCATCACTGTCATATTTTGACCCCTTTCGGCCGACGTCATTTTCCCAACTTGTTTTTTCCTTTTTGGGACAGAACTTTTGCATTTTTGTCGACACAGCACACCCCTGTTTCATCTGCAATGCGAGATGGAGGAAAGTTGTAAGTATTCATAAGAAGTTAGAGTTTGTCAAAAAACAGATTAACTTGGGGTTTATAACTTGGGGTGTATTAAAACCAAGAGCCTTTGCCAAGCTGCTGGCTTCTGGAGAACGTAAAGAAAGATCAGGGTGGCGCTTAAGAAATCTATAATAAGTCCTGCAGATTTCTTTTCAGTATTGAATCTATGGTCAATTTTTAAACTCACTGTCAAATTAGGCAAGTTTAAGAAATTATTTTCTAGTTAAGGGCATTAACTTATTGTCTATGTCTTTGATGTAAGCAACAAGTAGATTTTCGTATTTTTTGTTGAAAGTTCTTTCAAATACCAATTTTGGGCTTTACTTGTATCTCCAAACCAATTTTGAATAGCCATAACTCGTCTGTGCAGAATTGTTTTTGGTATATTAAACTTTTCTGCCGAGTCACTTATACTATGATGTTCTTCCGTTACATATTTTAGTGCTTTCATGAGATTATTTAGGGTCCAGGAACCGCAATTGATTGTCTTATCTTTAAACTTAGGCATAGTGCAATAAAAATACCAAACTTGATAAATATACGTTTTCCCAGGATACCTACCCGAATTTAATTTGTCCCGGGCTACCCGAATTACGAAAAACATTAAAATAAATAGTGAGTCCAAAATAATCAAAATTTAAACATATTGCAATTACGAATCTAACCTAGAATCACTAAATCATAACCTAAGCAAACCAGAAACTTGTTAACTTACCTAAGTAGCTAACAGATTGAGAATATATATAGGAAACAGTAAAAAACGGCGAAAAATAATAAAACTCTAATAACTTCACACCTCCTTGAGTGACAAACGTGAACTGTTTCTAGTTTCTTTTTTACCCGGAAACACGTCTATCTTGAACACATTGGTAGTACTATCGGTCCTAAAAACTTTAGCTATAACAATGTTCCGGGCTACCCGATGTCCCGTGCTACCCGATTTTCCCCTAAACGATGATGTTATTCCACATCACAATTCGGCCAAATACCTAGTGATGAACCTAGATGTACCATAGAAAAATAAAAAGAGATGTACGATTTAATGGAAAGAGCACTTAAAAAAGCGCAAAGAGCTTGAACTTAAATACAAAAAAATATATTGGCTGCTAGAAAAAAAAATCCAAGTTGTCAGTATATAACAAACTGCTGATTTATAAACAAATCCCAAAACTATTCAGGATTTATGCTATACAGCTGTGGGGATGTGCCAGCAAGAGTAATATTAACATATTAGTTTTCCTAATTAAAGTCCTAAGATGCATCGTTGATGTACCTTGATTCTATCGAAACAATTACCTTCATAGAGACCAGAAAATGCCAACATTCGAAGAAGAAATAAAGAGGGTCGACTCCACTCCCACGACAATAAAGAAGCGCTGTAATTACTGAACAATTTTACACTCAACAAAAGGCTCAAAAAAAAGAAGCTATTTGAGCAAGTGATATGAACGTTAATGATAGCGCTAGTGTAAAATAGTGTAATAAATCACACGCCAACTTGTGATGCCTTCCTAGAGAAATAATTAAGACAGCCTAATGAAGACTTCTTAAATAATTAGTTCATAAGATTTTTTAGATTAAAATTGTAGGTTAGTCAATGTCATATTTCTTTACTAGGTACATGTAATAAAGTCTGTTTTGAGTGGCCCACTCTTAAGAATTTTTTACTTAAAATACCAAACTATATTCGTGTACGAAAGGAATGCATTATAATAATCAAACTTCAAAAATTAAAAATAAGTTTATCTCGTTAAAAAAAATCACAAATGTAAACAGGTAATGATTATTTCTTTAAATACCTTGCCTTATAACGATTAAAATATTATTGCATCAAAATTATTGCCAATTTTATTGGTCTATTATGCAAAGGTATGTTTGATAAGCAACTATCTCATATTCATGCAATGAAATTTTCTATTTTGACAAGATTTCACGAACTATAATAGGTAGATTGATCAAAATTCAAGTTAGTGTTATTTCAACTTCTAAAGTTTTAATAATTTATTTTGTTGTGAATTAATAAAATATGTAAGTTTTATCATTTTTAGAATAAGAACTAAGACGATAAAAACACTGGAAAATATTTTACTAAATATATGAAGTGATCTACAAAAAAGTTCCTAAAGTAAAACTGCACCCAGAAATCGCCTGCCAAACGGAAACCCCAGATATTAGACTTTGGGTGAGATTACAGAACGTCTGCAACTTTGCAGATCTGCAAATATGGCGGACTTACAGATGCAAGTATCATGTTTTCGTATTCCAAAAAATATCAGTAAATTCTCAATTTATTGTGGTTTATTACCCCCAACAACACTGAACTCAAATCCACCCTTAATGAGGTTAGAACATCGTACAAACTTGTAGATTGTCAATTTTTACTTTTTTTTTAATAACCATGAAATCTTCTGTTCCTTTTGATTGAATACAGTTCGTGGTGTCACATTATCGAGTTTTTAAACATAGTAATGGATTTGGGTTTAGTGTTGTAAGTCCGCCATATTTGCAGATCTGCAAAGTTGCCGCCATATTTGCAGATCTGCAAAGTTGCAGACGTTCTGTAATCTCACCCTTAACCTAAATAGTTAGAGCTTTTTGAAGTTGTGTTTGTGCAGCAGTTGTATTAGCATTGTATAATGGTATTAGTTACATGTGGGAATTGGAGATTTGCACCTATTTACTAATATTTTGGGAACAAATTAAATTTTTTAGTGAATTTTATATCGTAAGATATTGAAGTGGAAATTATTTTTTATTTTATTATTTATTTTTGAATAGGTATGTATAGGAAAATGAGAGGTAGGAAAGAGTTATTTTTGCTGTGCATTAAATTATTAATAAAATTAGCTTTCAAATGAAGTGTCACACTTTACAATACTGTAAACTTTTGGAGGCTTGGTCCCCTGATTATTTATCGGCTTAGGCCGGTAAGGGTGTGGACTGTAGTTATGCACCTGAAGATAAACCACTTGTTCAGAAAAATCAAACACTGATGAACGGTGCATTGATTTAATTCACTTTAGAGAAACAATGTACTTGCTTTTAGAAATTTAAAACTTCATGCTATTAATTGAACGAATTTAAGTAAAAACTTAAATAATTGTTTAAAAATCACTGGAAAATAAATATAGAGAATAAGACATTTCGTAACTGGTTACATAAATAGCTATTAGATACGTTTTTGTTTTATGGTAAATTTTGATCTTTGGGATTTCATGTTCCTATATAAACATTTATCAATTAACGAAAGCTCTCTGTGATAGAGCATTATCGGTTGGATATACTAACGCCCTGTATATAGAACTTTACAAGCACTTAATATTTTAACCTCCTCTCGTTTCATAGACAGAGAACACATAATCAAATAAAGTTAAAATTTTAATCTCAGATGCCATTCAGAATTGCAGTTTCATATGAAAGTTATCGGTTGCCGTTTTGTCGGTTACCGTTTTGTCGGTTGCCATTTTGTCGGTTGCCGTTTTGTCGGTTGTCGGTTATCGGTTGTCGATTATCGGTTGTCGGTTATCGGTTGTCGATTATCGGTTGTCGGTTGTCGTTAAGATATCACCAGAGATAAGTCTGGATATCACTTCTAGATCTTGTCCACGCTATCATATTCAAATATTACTTCAGCCTCATCTGAAACATAAACCCTAATGTTCTTTGTACGTTACAGTCGCGTGACCTTAGATCATCAATGCGGATCCCACCATTCTTCGAATCTCACCCTTGACATATATAAATTTCCTGTCATTTCGACACATTCATTGTTACGTTAATCAAAATTTGTATTTACATTTAATCATAATTCATCCATTTCATGTATTAAATTCTAGTAATAAAATATAAATTTTCCTTCATCTTCATTCTTGAAATAAAATCAAAAAAATGTGTTCAAGATGCGTTTGTTCAAGTCAGTAAGTACATAATATCACCTTCTGTTATAATGTCACACCTCAAACATTTTCATAGTATTATTGTGTTCATTTATTTTACCATCCAACAAGATTTGCACCAAATCAATTTTAGCAATTTCTGTTAACTTAATAGACAGGCAAGGTAAACATTAACAATGATCTTACAGCATTCTTGCATGTCAACTAGCCATAGGTATGTCTTCCTTTCTTGTCCATTTTTATCTTCGAAAATCCAAAGTTTATGAGGAACACTTTGTTCTTAAACTTAAATATTTAAAAACTGATAGTGCTCTAGACGTCTTCTTTACCTTTAATTTATAGACAGCATTATGTTTTTTTTTCTTCAATTTGCCTTGGTATGTTGCCTTTCCTGAATTCCCGGAGGCTACTCATTAATCAACGTTCTATTAGTAACTCATTTAACTGAATTTTTAGATACATACCCAACCAGGGGTTTGCCAAATTTAATCCATGAAGAATAGTCAAAATACATTTTTAAGGTGAATTCAATCAGTTTCTAAGTTGGGACTGATTTTTTATTTTTACCCTTCGAGTTTCCTTACTATCAATCTGGTCCCCAGGCACACCAGAGTTCCAGCTAGGCTTATTGTACCTCTATTTGAGAGCCCTGTTATACGTATTCACACTACATGATAGGTTGTTAAACACTAGTCCTAGTAGTTACGCATATAATATTTGATCGGATCACTGTTGAATTTCAAACAGTAACCAATGTTCATCCTAAGCTGGTCCTCCATACTCTATGAGGTTATCATTGTAGATATTTCCTGAGTGTATTTTTTAAAATTTATGCTTTATTTCGATTTTTCTTTTACTTCACTTAATTGACGTCAGACCATTCTTCATATAGGTACCATATGTTTCTCTTCTACCAGCCTAATAATTTCTGATTCAAAATGAATGAATTTTATCTATTAAAAAATAATATTTTGTAGGGATGACTCTTTTGTTAAAAACCCCCATCTCTGCGATTTAAAAGAAGATCATTTATATCATTTATCTTTGAATACCAATATGGATCTGGAAGAGATGTTTAGTGACGTTAAAGTAAGCAAAATAGTAATTTAGCAGACTTTTTTTGTCAGCATTTTTAATTCAAATTTTATATTTTCTCTAGTTTCAATATTCACTAATTTTATAAATGAGTTGATATCAACCTTATTTTTTTTTTAATAGTTCGTATGCACAGGAGGAACTGCAAATAGAATGCGAAGTTTTGCAGAATATGTAGCTCAAGAAATTGGACACCAATTTCCAACTGGGGTCCAAATGAAAAATATAAGTGCTCCTGCCGATAGATATAGCATGTATAAAGTTGGACCTGTACTTAGTGTGAGCGTAAGTTACTATACAATGATCCAGAAAAAAATGTTTCTAAAGTAGGCTATGACCGACAAACACAGAAATTCAGAGTCTTGTCCGTGATAACTATGCGCAACTCTAATTTAAAACCAAACTGAAATTTAAAAATAAGAAGAATTGTACGCTCAATATACGTTAATTTTTCTAATGCCTACTTCAGAAGCATTTTTTGTAGATCACTCCTTATTATCTATTATTAATATTTCTTCTCATAATACTTCTAAAATGTGTAACGTAAAATAGGTATTAATAGAAATTTATGTATCAAGGGCGTAAAAAAGGCCTTTAATGGACCGCAACGTGTAAGAGCCCGAGCCGCTAGGCGAGGACTGTTAACACGTAGGTCCATAAATGCTGTTTACGCCTAAAATACATACAACATTTTTTGCACTTCCCTTTTAATGATAATTTATTAACAAATATGTATGGCACAGATAGGGCAGGACACCATCTCCATCTGCACAACCAGAGGATGTCCACAAGGAGGAGTTCTATCCCCACTAATGTGGAGCCTAACCGTAGACGAACTTCTCTGTATATTGACTGACCTCGGCATACACTGCCGTGAAGTGGGACTTAGTATAGAACCTACAAAAACAACACTAGTAGCCTTTTCAAGGAAAAGAAAACTTAATCTCAAAACCGTTAAATTAGACGGGATAGATATAGAATGGAAAAATAAAGTCAAATATCTAGGCCTAACCCTGGACAACATGCGAAGGAAGTAGTATGTTATGTTGAGAATGGGGTGTTAATACACTGCGACCTAAAAGATTTATTGTGCTCCCTTCTGTCGCCAATGCACTAAGGAAATGACTCAATTCCTATAACGACCCTTCCAATCCTATTTTCTCAAAGAAATGTAGGATTTGAAGTGGCTTCAAGTTAGGTAAGTCTCCCTCTTCTATTTGATATCCTCCTAGGAAGTAGTAAATAAGGCCACAAAAGCCCTAATAGTACGCAGAAACATTGCGGGTAAACGATGGGGATGTAACCCGAACATACTGCTATGGATGTATACTGCAATAGTGAGACAAATCATCACTTACAGGGCTATAGCCTGGAGTAACAGAACTAGTTTAGCTACTACGAGAGCTAATATCTCAAAAGTACAAAGACTAGCCTGTGTTTGCATCACAGGTGCAATGAGAACCTATCCTACGGCTGCAATGGAGGTGATCTTAAACCTCACCCCGCTACATTTAATGATAGAGAATGTGGCAAAAAGGACACGATATAGAATGATCAGGAACGGAGTAATCAGACGAAAGTCTACTTGCTTCAGGACCAAAGATACCTGGGATCTGCCCCAGGATGAAATGATAAAGAAGTACAGTTTTGCGAAAAACTTCAAAACCACAGAGCTGGGCTGCAAGAAAAAATGGAGCCAAGAATCCATCGCGCTTGCAACCGAAAGACATGCTATTCAGTGTATACGGATGGTTCCAAAACCATAGAAAGAACTGGAATAGGAGTGTATGGGCCGAGAACCAAGCACTCTGAAAGCTTGGGAAAATACCCAGGCATCTTGCCATCGAAAAGTGTAACCAGTTTAACATCGACAAGAATTATCGTAGACAAGAGATTATCATCATGTCCGATAGCCAAGCAGCCATCAAAGTGCTGAGCTCTTATGTAATCAGCTCAAAAATGGTCTGGAGATGCCTAGAACAATTGAATGAGCTAAACAAAAAAAATAGAGTTACTCTCGCAGGGTAACGAGATTGCAGATAGTCTTGCAAGGAAAGGGGCTCACACCGTTGGTGGAACCTGAGCCGTTCTGCGGTACCAGCAGTAACATAATATTAGGAGAGATTAAAAAAGAATTGGGCAGTAGAAGAACCGATAATTAGAACAATCTTTTAGGGCCGAGACAGGCTAAGATACATCTGGGTGAATATAACCAGAAAAGATCGGAAGTCTGCATCTGTCTGAGCAAGAACAAGCTACGTATTGTAACAGGGATCTTTACTGGGCATTGTCGACTAAAAGGACATCTTAGTAAACTGAGAGTAGTAGAAGACAATGAGTGCAGATTCTGTGAGGAGGAGAACAAAACCTACATTCATATTCTAACTGAATGTGTAGCACTCCAGAATCCAAGAGCACTATACCTAGGAGCATATCAAATAGAAGAGGGAACTTTACCTAAATTGAAGCCACTCCAAATACTACACTTCCTTGAGAAGATAGGATTGGAAGGGTCATTATAGGCATTGAGACATTTCCTTGCTGCATTAAAAATATTTTAAATAAAGTATAAATATTTACAAAAAAAATTGTGCAATTTTAAATGTTAATTTTTTATTTTGTTGGTAAAAAGCACATGTATCTTGCACTGTACTGTACGAGCGCCGGATTACGCAGTTGTCGATATCAAAACTGTAACGAAGAAAAATCAATTACATCCAAGCCAAAAATTGTTTTCCCCAGTGGCTCCTATAATTTTGAATTTTTGATAAAATCTTAGGAATTAAGAATACCTCTCTTTTATTAGTTGCACCGCTAGTCGATGAAAAATATGCCAAACTTAAAATGACAGTATTCCATTAAAAATATAATTTTAATCTTGGCTAATTTCTAAACGACTAGCATTGCAACTATTAAAAGCTTTAAAGTGTGAGAGTTTTATTTAAAATAAGCAGTTATTGCTCACATAACCATTTGTAGCACGGAATGGGTAATCCTTCGATGGGAATTCTCACCAATGAACTGATTAAATTAATGTACTACGCTAAATGTAAGGATCCGATATTCTTCAGGATTGGAACATGCGGGAGTATAGGACATGAAGGAGGTACAGTTATTATTTCTGATGACTGCTGTGATGGGTTCCTTAAGACATCTTACACTATAGTAAGTATATTTTTCTGTTTTCTATCCATAATACTTATATACTGTTTAATAAACAGCAGGAGTACCTCAAGGCACTTTTTGGGACCACTTCTTTTTATGTTATTTATCAATGATATTGTACAAATACTGAAATAAAATGCTTATTATATTATTATGCGGATGATCTCAAGCTATTTCTACAGATCGGATCCGTACATGTCTGTCTTAAGCTTCAAGCAATTATTGATTTGTTAAATGATGGTGTATTAAAAACGAACTTCCTTTAAACGCTAGTAAATGTAACGTTATGTCATTTAGTGAAAAAGATTACATTGTCACTTTGTTCTACAAGTTACACAATACCGCACTGATGCGATCAGAACTTATTAAAAATCCCTGTGTTTATTTCGATACAAATTTAAGTTTTATTCCTCACATTGATAAGACTACTGCAAGTACACAACGTCTACTTGGATTTGTAATTCAAAATATGAAGTAGTTTGAAGACTCCTTCCACTATGAGTTTACTTGTAAGTATCAGTCATCCATAAGGTCGAAGCTAGAATATGGCAACATAGTTTGGAATTCTCATTGAGATAGAATAAAGACGAGATGCTATGACAATGCTAAAGGGTCCGCACCTTTGCATTACACTTTTACGTCATATGTCAAATTAGAGATAGTGAAGCTAGTCAATTTTGGTGAGAGTAAATGCCATTGTTTTTTTTAAATAGCTTCATTTAAATGATATAAAATCATTTTCATTCCATCAGTCTTCAAAAAATATTTAATAGAGGGAACTGAATACTTAAATAGACATTATTAAACAACTAAATGATAGATATTGAACAGCTTAATATCATTTACTTCATAAGTATTGATAATTTTAATAACTGTTATTAATAGCTTTAATGATGAATAATTGCAGGTTTTAATACTGTCTATTAAACAACTTTAATTATGATTATTAAATAGTTTCATAGAGATCGATCAAAAATATCCCCTCTCTCAAAATTTGGCAATTGTCTCTAACTATATGAAATATATTATTATTATTATTATTATTATTATTATTATTATTATTATTATTATTATTATTATTATTATTATTATTATTATTATTATTATTATTATTATTATTATTATTATTATTATTATTATTATTATTATTATTATTATTATTATTATTATTATTATTATTATTAATTTTTAGCCAGTCCTGGGGAAACCTTTTGAAAGGCGTGCTCAACTTGACCAAGGATTAATCATCGAACTCAAAGATCTAATAGATAAAAATGATAATTTTAAAGTTGTCTCTGGAACTACAATGTGTGCTGAGGATTTTTACGAAGGTATTTTGCCTCAATTTTTATGTGGCCAAAACTCAACAACTCGCGATGGTATAAAAAAATTCAAACTTGGCTCGATTTACAAAAAATAATTCCATAGAAAACAATTAAAATTTAGCTCTGGCTTAACAAAATTTGATCATTTGTTTCAGCCTCAGAAACAGCATAACAATATTTTTCATATCTGATTAATTATTTCAAAAGAGCGGAAAAAGTTGATTTAGAATAGGATTTCTAAAACAAAATTTAGAGATTCCAATTTTTTCTTAAAAATAATCTTTTTTTAAATTTGTCAAATTCAAAATTTTTAAATATTTTTTATGATAAAATACCAAAAATATGTCTCAATATTTGTCTAAACCATTAATGTTTTAAATATATTTTGAAATGGGTACCCTATATAACGAAAAATTAATGAAAAATTATCATTTCTTACTCTTTAAAAAATACAATATTGAAAACAAAAAGTTTCCAACAAATAAAACAATAATAAAGAGTGTAGAGTGTAGTTAGAGGAATCGTCTGAAGGTCGAAAGATACCATTTATTCTTTTCAAAATACAATAATTGTTTCTTTTCTATATAGACTAAGAATTTATCAACACACTTTTACAAGTTTAGTAAAGGTAGCTAATATATTTTATAGGTCAAGGACGATTGGACGGTCCCTTTTGCAAATTTTCAGAAGAAGATAAAATGCAATTTTTGTACAGACTAAGCGGTAAAGGCATTATAAATATGGAAATGGAGTCAACTGCTTTTGCAGCTCTAACTAAAGCTGCGGGAATCAAAGCATCAGTTGTATGCGTCTCACTTATAAACAGACTAAAAGGAGATCAGGTAATAATAATATTAATAATTTTCATATTTAAGAATTAACTTTTAACCTATATAGATTAGCTATCATGGCTTCTCTCGTCCCTATACTACAACAAGCAATCGCCACTTTAATAGTTAGGTGTTCTGCTTTTCATCACTGAATGGATTCAAACTACACAGACTAAAATGTCATCAGTTGGCTAAAATAAGTAACATTATTAACTGCAGTAGTTACCTCTTATCGAATAATGTATTACATAATCTCTTCAAAAATAAATTATTATGTTATATATTATTAGTTATGATTTAATCCCAAAAATTATTGGAGCGTAATAAATGCTACACACAGAGAAGACATATTTTATTGAAATTGAAATAGTTATTTATTATACAAGGGAAAAAAGTATTTGATTTTAGCTCGGGGTTGTGTTGACAAAAAACCGAGAGCTAAAATCTAATATTTTTCCCGTGTGTAATAAATAACTATTTCAATTTCAATAAAATATTTTTCCAATTATCGGTTCTTTTAATGCCCAATTCTTTTTTAATATCTTCAAATATTGTGTTACCGCTGATACCGCAGAACTGCTCAGGTCCCACAAAGGGTCTTTACGCCCCTTTTCTTGCGAAACTATCAGAAATTTCGTTACCCTTTACTTTACCCAGTTATGTCCCGGGACCCAAGTGAGAGTAACTGTATTTTCCTCGCCTAGCTCATTCAGTTTATCTAGGCATCTCAAGACCATTTTTGAGCCGATTACGTAAGATATGATGGCTGCATTTGGCTATCGGACATGATGGTATGCAATAGTTTCTCTTGATGTTGAACTGGATACACTTCTCGGTGGCGTTGAATTTCCACCTGGAAGATGTTTGGATATTTACCCAAACTTTCAGAGTGCCTGGTTCTATCCCATATACTCCTATTCCAGTTCCTTCTATGGTTTTGGAACCATCGTATACCACTGAATGGCGTGTCTTTCGGTTGCAAGCACGATGGATTCTTGGCTCCATTCTTTCTTGCAGCCCAGCTCTGTGGTTTTTAAGTTTTTTACAAAACTTGACTTCTTTTTTATTTCGTCTAATTACTCCGTTATATATCTTGTACTTCTTGCCACGTTCTTTATCATTAAATGTACAGGGGTAAGGTTTAATATCACCTTCATTGTAGCCGTAGGACAGGTTCTCATTGCACCGTACTTTTGAGATATCAGCTCTCGTAGTAGCTAAACTAGTTTTGTTACTCCAGGCTACAGTCCCATAAGTGATTATTGGTATCACTATTGTATACATGCTTCGCAGTGTGTTCGGGTAACATCCACATCTTTTACCTGCAATGTTTCTACATACCATTAATGCTTTATTTTCACTACTCTCTTTTCATGTATGTTCCAGAGAAGTTTGTTAACCAGGGTAAGGCCTAAATATTTGACTTCATTTTCCGATTCTATATCTATCGCCTCTAATTTGATGGTTTTAAAATTTAGATTTCTTTTTCCTGAAAAGGCTACTAATATTGTTTTGGTAGGGTATATTCTAAGTCCCACCTCTTGGCACCATCTTTTGGTGCTTGTTCTCTTTGTACTATATTACACTATATCACACAAAATTATTGCCTCTAGCAAATATAACTATATTGTCGGCATAACCTTGACAGGGTATGCCGAGGTCAGTCAATCTGCATAGAAGTTCGTCTACGGTTAGGCTCTACATTAGTGGGGATAGTTTGTGGACATCCTCTGGTTGTGCAGATGGAGATGATGTCTTATCCTAAGTATATGTGTCTCTACATTTCTCGTATATAGCAGCCTGATGTGGTGCTATCTGCCCATCTGTATGTGAGTGTTCTTTAGACAGATTCATGTGACGTGTTGTCAAACGCGCCTAAGAAGGCACACACGTTCGTATCTTTGATTTTCAATGCATCCTGGATTTCATCAGTCAGCTGTACCAGTACAGTTTCTGTAGATATTCCTTCTCGGTACTCGTGCTGGCTGAGGTGGAGTGGCACTATCTCCAGGATTTCTGTTCTGATGTAATGATGTAATTATTTTGTTTTTAATATAAAGGAAAGATTTAGGATTTGTGGTATCCTATTTCCCTACTTTTGGAATAAAGGTGACTACAGCCCTTCTTGATGATTCTGCAGTTCCAGACTGCTCCAGGAGATGCGGAAACAGGGCAGGAAATATTCCATCCACACCTGGAGACTTAAACTATTCAAAAGTGTTTACGGCTTAACCGATTGTTGCTGCAAATATGTTTGGCCACTGCAAGGAACTCTTTTAAGAGTTTTAAGGGTCTGCTTATCTTATTTGGGCGCTTTTACAAAGGTGTGCTCACAGGAAAGTGAGTTTCAAGAAAGAGGCGAGCTCTTTCCTCCTAACTGTCTATGAAGCTTTTATTTTGTTTCTCTAGAGCCATAGTTGTATTTACTCTCCCTTTTGCCAGAGACTTGTGCAGTCTTGCTGCCGCAGGTGTAGAATTAATCTCCTCGTAAAATATCCTAAAGCTATTACGTTTAACTTTCCTGATTTCTGTCTTGTATGTGGTAAGTGCCTTGGTGTAGCTCTACCAATCTCCGCTGTACTTGGCCCTATTATAGAGTTTATTCACTTCGTTTCTTAAGTTTGACACAAAGCAAGGAACGTCCCTACTAGTTATATTTGGTTGAATGGGGCAGCTTGATTCATATGTCTTAAGTATTGCCTCATTCAGTTTTTCTAGATCGCTTTCCAGAACTAGTGGGTGCCTGGGCCTGTTTATTCTAGATGCATGCAAAATTTTGTTTGAGTGGTGTTGTATTTGTTTTTCTAGGATTCCTCCTGAGAATCGTCTCAGGCGTGCCGCTCTCCAACACAATTACCTTGTGATTGCTTAGAGATGGTTCACTCGATACTCTCCAGGGGGTCGAATCTCGACTCGTAGGAATTTTTTCCTATAAGAATTTTTGACATTTTTCTATATTATCTGAAATTTAGGACATTTTCCTACATATAGGAAAGCGTCACAAATTCCTATAGGAAAAGGTTCCTACAAGTCGAGAATCGGCCGCCTCTTGTCGTTATTGTGAACAGATTTTCAATTGTCTTACCTACTAAATTTATTTTATTTTTAGGTAACTACTCCGAAAAATGTATTAGATGAATGGCAGAAAAGACCTCAAGTGCTTGTAGCAAGATATATTAAGAAAAATTTATGCTGTTCATGTAAATAGATTTAACTACACACAAAAAAGGTGACTCACTTTCACAATCCATTCCATTTTATATTGTCATATTTAATTTTTCAAATAAATTATTTTATTACTAATATGACTTATTAATTGATATTATTAGTTGCCTAACTAATGGGTGCAAATTAATTCGAAAAAAGTACCAACATGATTTTATCCTACCTGAGACTGACGAACTTTATAGGATCTGTAATGTATTTTTTTAGCTAGAGCAAGACCATTAAATTCACCAACCTCTGCATCTCTTAAAAGTCAACTAACTTACAAATTAACTATTTTAAATTCGTGACCAAATTAAGCCGTCCAATTATTGTATTTGGAGACAATTTAAATAGGTAACTTAGTTGCAAGGAAATTCGGAGGGTGTATAATTTGACAAAATTATGGTCGACGATTGTATAATAATAATTATTGCCTAGTCTACCGTTATAATTTCGACCACTTTTGCACCCAACCCCTTTCGATTTTGCTGAAACTTTTTGTATTTTTTCTACCCCACTAAAAACGTTTAAGGATTTTTCAAATTTTTTCACCTAACCTAAAAAAGTTATTCAGTTTCCCAAAACATGGCTTTTTTTTAAATAACCATGACTTTTTTAAATTTGTCTAATTGCTGTTGTTTTTTTTAATTCTCATTTGCGAATGTAGTTTTTAGAATAAAATGCCAAAAATTTTTTCGAGGTCATATTCCATGAAATTTTTCAGTTTTTTAACAAATACCATCAATTTTTTAATGTCGACATTTTTTCTGAAGTTAATGCCACTAAACCCAGAGTGGGCCGATATGTTTTCTATTTTTTTTATTTACTTATTTGTATTTTTCCGCAATGTAACTTTTTTTATTTAATAAATTAAATATAAATAAATATATTCATAATAATAAAAATATAAAAAAAGAGAAAAACTTCGTATCCGCGCGACCGTTTCCTTCATGAAAACAACTACTCCTTTGACTAATAACGCAACACATTTCAAAAATAGAACATATACTCTTCAACACTTTAACTTTGATTTTACTAATAATCCTTCCTCCATGGATTTTACTTACTAATGCTGCGTTTGTTTATCCACATCGGATGCATCTAAGATATAGAGATTGAGATACGTAAACGGAATGGATAAACAAACGCTCGAGAGTTAAAAAATGTATCGGATGTGGCTATTCAAACGTAGCATTCGGAGAACATCATTCTTGGATCGGTTTCGTTTTTTATTTTTCTATGGGTTTCGTCCTTATTATAACTCATCAGCAATAGGCATTCTCGTTTTTAATGGAACCTGTAGGTGCGTAAAACTTCCTTGCTTGTCTTGTCATGGTCGGTAGTTGTGTTATAATCGGAAGTCGCGACAAATACAATTGTTTTTAAATAAAAAATTGTTTGGTAAAAATGAAAATTTGGCAGCACTGTCATATATGATTTGAACCGTAGATTCCAGAAAACATAAATATACAATAAGGTGGTCCATTTTAAAAAACAACATTTTACTTAATAGCATTTCCGGTAAAACGGGAAATCTGCCATTTAGTTTAAATATTGAGTGTTAATTCTAAATTATATCTAGTATTTTGTGCCAAATTTGATCCAAATCGATTCATTAATAAAAGTGTGATTTTAACATGACCCTGCCCAAACAGCACACATATAGTCTAATAGACGTGCACTTTTAGATCAATTTAAGGATCAGATAACGTCCATATAAGTATTGGAACATCCATTGTACCCTCGTTTATGATCATTAATTTGACTGTTGAATATCGATACCCAGGGGACGTTTGTTTTTGGACTAAATTTTAAGTTTAGTAGCATTTTGACGTCCATATAGGAATGAAGTCTATCTTAGGTCATTATTTATTTAGCATAATACCCATATTGCATTTCATTCTATCAGCGGAAGTTTGAAAATCTGATTCTATTATAATCATATCTAGTAAAAAGTTTTCAAATGGCTCATTGGTCGAGATCGTCCAGCAGTTTAAATCCTAGATGAGCGGTAACGAACATTATTCAATCCCCGCTCAGGTCGAGCGATTTTTAATAATAATAATAAAAATAAAAAAGAAATGGTGTCCAGCGGATTGCGAAAATAATACATAAATATATTTATTAATAATATAAAATAGTTACATTTTTGCAAAAAAAGTGGGGATGTGTTATTAATGGAATATAATACATCAGGAATGGACGTCCTCTCTGAATGGTCAAATGTGTGCCATTTGTAATACTTCACTGGGCGTGCATTATTGGGTATCGGAATTACAGACAAAAACAAATTTTTGGACGTCCAGACATCCAAAATTGTATATAGAATGGACGTCCAATGGACCTTTTTGTGCTCTCTGTGTGGTCCCATTATCATCAAGTATGCTAACTTACACCAAGTAAAAGAAAATGTATTTTTTGCTCTAAAATGAATTCAGAATTACCCTAATTATATATTGTATTGATATGAGTATATATTGTAGGTATTTGCTATTTTTTACTTTTTTTGAGGACATGTCAATTTTTGACAATTATTCTCTGGATTTATTATAAATGATTATTTTTGACGAATGCCGTCTACTACAGTTTTGATAATACAAGAGTAGTTGTCCTAATGCTCTACTTGTATTGCCCTGTAAGTGTACGGATCAAAAGTTTTAAGTTGAGATACACGATGGATACAGGAACGGACCTGTGTTGTAATTATGTTTAAATTATTATAAAATAAATAAAATTATACTAATTGTACGTGACTCAGGTATATTTTTTGTTTGTATTATATTATCGACGTTTTTAAAATTAAAACTTCCTGGAAACTGAAAACCAAATGGAAATTTAAATTATTTAATAGTTCCGTTCTGTGGTTTATGTTTGTATCCCTGCCTGCCCTGCTTGTCACTTTTGTCATTTGTCGTTTGTCTTCCCACTTCCCATCGTTCCACCTTCATTGAAAAAGTTTGCCAGTGAATTTATTAAGAAAAAAATAGTTATTTTGAGCTTGTACGCTTAAAACCCAGAAAAAAAACAATATTATTTGGTTGACGGATGACAGTTAAATTGTGACTTGTGTTTTAAATCAGTTTCAACATCAAATACACATGTATGTAATCCTTTTGCGGTAATATGCTACCTATTTGCATTTAAAGTGCCACACCAAATTTGTAATTTGCGTTTCAATTTCAGGAATACTGAGGAAGATGACAATTCTAGAGAATGATGTGATTCCTACCCGCAACAAATTATCTCTGTCTAAAGCTAAGTATAAAACTGGTGAACAAATCAAAAGGAAGTACATTTTTGAAGAAGATTCTATTCCCGCAAAGAAACCAGCCCTGAACGAGATGTTGAACGGTTATAGAGGTGACCAGAGGAGCAATGGGGAAGCCTCCCATGACGCTCCTGTAGCTACCTTATCCAACATGGGAAACACTTGTTTCCTTAATAGTGTTTTATATACCCTGCGATTCGCACCTACATTCTTACATAATTTACACCATCTAATTGGCGATCTTGCTGTAGTCAGTTCAAAGTTGAATCAGAATAAAGCAAAAACGTCATCTTTAGGTCGAAATATTGGTTCCATTACAGGGCCCAGTTCTCGTAGTACTAGTAGCAAAGACTTATTATCTTTGGGAAGTTCGAATGACATTATTCCTAAATCTAAAGTGCAAGTAGTTACTGAGAAGTTACATGAGTTATTTATGACTATGCATAACCTTGAAATTAAAGAGTCAAATGATCCTTATCAACCTGTAGCACTATTACAGGCAGTAAGAGAAGCCAATTCCATTTTTGAAGGGAATAATCAACAGGCAAGTAACAGCTTTAAAGTAATGTTTAGAAATTAATTAAAAAAATATTCTTGTTATTGATTTGCTGCTCTATTTGAGGTTAACCTCCTTTTTTGACATCTAAGTTGTTCAAGGTTAAAAATTATTAATGTTAAATTAGGCCAGTTATTCTAATTAATCAAAACTTGATTATTTTTGAAAAGTTGATCTAATTTTAAAGGTAAATAACTCTGGGACATTTTATTTAAAATGCAGTGACTGATTTTATTACTTAACTAATTTTCCTTTAAGTGCCACTCCTATCAAAGATTGTTACTTAATTTTTGTGTTCAGTTGAACCGAATTTGAATTGTTAAATGACAATAAAACATAAATAGGTAGTGTCAAAAATAAATATCAGTAATTACAATATATTATCTTAAACTAATATGGATAGACAAAACAAAAATACCATACATTTTTTAATGGAAACAAACAAAAAATAACTCATTTAGGTACTTTTAGGATAAATTTATTGTAAAATTAATCCTTTATTATTAATAAAATTATTATTTCCAGGACGCTCATGAACTCCTTGTATATTTGCTTGATAACATTCGAGAAACATGTGATGTTTTAACCCAACAAGTTCAGCAGAATCCAGAACTTCTCCATGAGACCGAAACTCTACCTACCGTCAACAGTAATAAAATTTGGAGTGTTAGGAATTCATGGAAAAAGAGCCTCAAAAAGAAGGTATTTATGGTATTTTCTTTTTCATATTTTATGTAAGATTTGATAGTGGAAAATTTCCTATGAAAAGAAACTATATAAATAATGAAAAGTATCAAAAATATATGACAAAAGTAAAGTAAGTAAATTTGTGTCTCTTTAAAATGTTTTGTTTCTATTTTGATATGTGGCAATTGGTGTGAAATTGTTTCTTAGGAATTTGTTCATTGATCTATAATATTCACTGAATGGGCTAAAGTCATGAAAATGTTTTCCCAGAATTGGTTGACTTTGGAAAATCATAATTGAAATTCAATTAAGAGCTAATAAAACTATGTAATCAGTTTCGAAATGTATTATTTTATGTACTGAGTGAATCTTTGCGGGCCGGGCATAGTGAGTTACACAACACCACATGTTTAATGTGTTACATACAGTATATTATCTAATTTTGATTAGATATTTATAAAATTGTGTTTGGTAAAAAAATATTAACATCAACCAACCAATATTACTTTCCTGCATTGTTAGTTGCATAACTTCATTTCATTAGCATATTTATAAAAATGGAAAGTCATATAATTTTTTTTTTTTTTTTTTTAATTAATAATTGTCATTTATTGAACTGAAAATTCAGTCCAATAGGCTATCGACCAAAAACAATATAATTTATTCTCAATCACTTGTTGTAGGGTTCTACCTTGCCTCTTTAAGTTAATTAGTTTTCAAGAAAGTGAGTTATTTTGTCAATTACCTTGTTTTGATTAAACAAGACTGCCAATTACGAAATGACTACATTCCTCTTTATAACAAAAACAACTTAATGTCTTCATTTTTAGATGATTAGGATAAATCAAGCTTCCTTCAACTTGATATACCAGAAAAAGTTTTAATATTCTCATCCGATTACAGAAGCATTTCTTTTTGTAAAATTTCAGAGTCATTTATGGTTAAGACTTTAATGTTGGGGCAACTTTTCTGAATTGCTTTTGATAAATCATTTAATGAAGTTATGTGAGCCCCACTTCCAACAAGCCTGTCTGCGGTTCTCTCCACCCACTCCATCGGAAGCCCTTTTCCATGTCCGGCCTCGTGGTAATTCCATGTAAACTTTATCAAGTTAAGGTAAAATTCCTGCAACTTAGTTGCTAATACCAAAGACAATCCAGCGAGACGTGTAACTCAATGTATTTTTTTTTGTTCCGTAAAAGTTATTTGGGCGATTGTAACCACAACCAGTCTATGATGGCGCCACTAGTACATAGCGGGAAAATTAAAAATGCTTTTGGGCGGGAAATTCAAACATGGATTCAGAAATAAATAGTTTTTCTATACAAATTTACAGGAGAAACAAAAACTATTGTTTCACTGTATATTAAAAAATATTAAAGCTTCCAATAACATCAATTTTTTTATCATATAAATAATCATTTTAATAAAGGAAGTTTTAATCAGTTTAATATAAGCAGTGAACATAGTTTTTATTACTCTTGTAAATTGCGCTAAAAAAAAACTTGAAAATTCTATTGATTATTAAATATTTAAACTTGGAAAAATAATACACCAAACTCTTTTTCTATAAATTATATTTTTGTAAGGTACAGAAAAACAAACTACAATTGCTTCGTTTAGAAAGTACCTCCTTACATTTTGTGACAAATTACAAAGAAAGTAACAGTTGTTATATATTCATAATATATTTAAAAACTAATGTAACAAATATTTTATAAAGTATAGAGTATATTGATACCTTTTTGCCAGACTATCATAAGTGCCATTTGAACAAATGTCGCTTACATTAGTCTGGCATAAAGGTATGGATATGTTATGATTGTTTATTTTAATAGAAACCATGGAAACGAAACAAACACACACATACACTCAACACAAATGTATAAGGCCCGAGTTGAGTAAGTTCCCATCCTGTAAACTGGATCGAAACCTGCTAGACCCATTCTGTACACCCCCTGTTAACTCCTCTTAGGGTCATCAAGATCAATAGATTTATATGCCATGCCTTCTAAAAGGGAATGAAGGATGACATACTATCATCATTTAAACAGGACGTTGCTGAATTATTTATTTGTTTGTGTATCTTGTGCCTGTGCATTCCTGTTGTGTCCCCAGTCATGTAAAAGTTTTCCTAGTCTCCTAATTTGGTTACTAGGTGGACCTTCTCCAACTAGTAGTCTAATCTATTCGATCTGTTCTGCAACAGGAGGTACTTTTCAAACATAGCAAATAATAATAATAAACACTATTTAAAGATGAATACATTTTTGTAATTTTTTTGTCATTGCCCCTTACCTGTCTCTTACACCACAAGAGTATACCTTTTGTTCATATTCCCTTAATTGTAGATTACCTTACAATATTTGTAGGAATATAACATTTTACCCATGAAAAATCTAATTTCGTATTTAACTCTTTTTCAATTTCATTTGAAAAAATTGGTATATTACAATTTATTATCAAGGAAATGTTCTAATAAAGTTATAGCAAATCCTACTTAAACTACTGGTTGTTCTGCAGGATAAATTAAACTTTTCTTGAGATTGATCTCTCTCTAAAATCCAAAACCGACCTGATGTCCCCAAATTTATTTTCCAATGCATCCTGATTTAAAATTCTGCCCTTTTGTGATTCAATTTTTTTTTTCTTCCTTTAGAGTGGCTATTAGAGGTAGGTGTATGTAAGAAATAGCCAATCTCTAATCATTTCAAAAGTCCTTTGCCAATACTACATGTGCATATTTTTTACTCAGCATACATTTTACTTTTCTAGTAGGTAGGAACTTTGTGCTACCATTAAAGCTGTCCAGACATCCATCTACTTACTTAATGAACAAAAGTAGCTGTAACAATGGATTTCTGTTCCAATTCACCTAAAATAATTATAGCCATTTTGTAATATATTATTAAACACACACACTATACAGTGGTTTTCTTAATAAATTGGAAATTACTTACCTCTAGAAAGAAATGTTTACAAAGACGCCAGTTTGGTTCCAAAAGTTGCTTCATGCAAAAAATAATATGCAAAAATAAACAATCCCCCCCAAAGAAAATTAAACAACAAAATCAGACTCAAAGAAATAAACGGGGCCCAAATTAAATTAATTTTAATAAAATGCACACGTTCATAACAACATTCATATTATCTTTGCTTGATGTAAGGCATTAAGTGTCAAATCAATATTTGCGTGAGTTACGCAAAGACAAGTTTCTCGTTTATCGCAATGTTGTGGAACTATCCAAAATGGCCTGAGCCTACAAAACAGAATAAGATATTTTAATACTTAATTTCTCAATGAAAGACTTCTGCAAGTTAAGTAATGTATCTAGCAATATACACTTCTGTTTCCGCTCCTTTTTTCTTGTCACAAAGTCATTTTTTCCAGCACAGATCCTGCTATTAGAATCGTCTTCCAAAAAACCTGTAAGCGTCTTCTTCAGTTTTTCATAATTCCCTTTAATATTTCGCTTAGGGTCCATAAATCTTAATACTTGCATGCGTTTTTTTAAAGGTTTTATTGTTTTCTCTTTCTGTAGAATCCCATACTTACTAATTTACCACTTATCATTCTTCTGAAAAGTCTTTTCTCATTTTCATTTGAAAGAGTGGAATAATTCCCTTTTAATTGTTCACCAAGTACTTTACCAAACAATAATTTGTTCTTTATTGTCTCTCTAGAACTCGGTAAATTTACCATTTGGTTTACTTTAGTCTTTGGTGAAAGTTTAGCTGGTTGTTTTAATCTTTGCAAACGTTTTTTGTAACACGCTACCTTGGCTTTAAGTTTAGATATTATTTCTGTTTGTTTCTTTATTAATTTATTCCTAGATCTCCTTGCACGATTTGATTTCTTTTTCGCTGCTAGCGCTCTACCGTCAGACATTACAATTAGAGTAGCTGCTTCGTTATCCGAACTTGGTGGTGTTATTGTGGTATTACTAACATCTTGAAGTACAAGACGAATCCTACGTTTTTTGCCTTTTCTTTCCAGACTTTCCTAGCTTTACGTTGTTCTCTAGGGGTCATTTGATTTACAGCATTTATGATGCCCGATTCTTTTTTTCTTTTATACTTCTTTTTGCTGTGCGTATCTTTCTGGGTCGTTTTTTATACGCTCATATCTCAATCTTTCCGCTTGACGCTTTTTCTGAAGACGTTCTTCAGGTGTTAGTTTTTTTCGGTTTGCCATGATCTGTAATAAAATTTAGTGCGCTAAGTTAAAATAAACCAATTTGTATTGAAAAGTGTAATACATAGTTGATATTCTTAAACTTAAAAATATACAAAATACCTATTTCATAAATATTATTAGGCTAATTAAATCTTGATAGTTAATTGCATTAAAACGATATGTTTCAACTACAGATTAAAAAAAAAATGTGAAAGTAATTAAAATGTTTTAAAATAATATGAAGTATTATATATGTCACTGGTCACTTAGTCTCTCCCCTGGCACTTTACGAGACAGGGGAGATATATTTTATGGAAAAATTACAAGTAACTTCAATATTTACTTTTATAGAAAATAAAAAATAGAACATGTGGAATAACGCACCTAATGCAGTAAATAGAGAGTTAAAACATAACGATTAGCAACATTATAATAAATTACTACTTACCAGTGGAAAGATCGCAGTTACCAGACAACATCCATTCACACCAAGTGTCTTGACTGTACTGAACAAGATGCGCAGTCGAATGGCTTACGCAACAATACGCTAGTTCGGTGTGATGTCATTTTGGTTCCACTGACATTTAATTCTAACCAAACTTTTAACAAAAACATCAATAAATTTGACATATACGTTTTTACTGTTTTTAGTTTATTTCTAAATATTGTCATAAAAAATAGTTAAAAGGTATGTAATTGGTAACTAAACGAATGTATATTTAATGCATGTTATCTACTTTCTTTGGGAATATATTTATAAACGTGAAAAAACGATATAATTTAGGTATACAAAACGAACAAAACGCACTCAAAAAATCTACTGTCACTTTAATTGTCAGTGGAACCATAATTACATCATCGGTGAACTAGCGTATTGGCGCTAAATTCACGTCAAACTTTAGGCGTTTAACAAGTTTTTATTTGTGTTAGTGAAATATTTCAAAAATAATAATAGATCAAAATAAACCAGAGGAAGGGACTTGAAATGTTCAGGACAAAAAAATTCAATGAAAATATTCAATGATAATGAACTCAGCAAATAGGTTTACAAATAAAATATGATTGTTTAGTTATTCTAGTATATTTAATTCGTGCATTTTTTTAATTATTAGAAAAAAACTTGCCGAGGACAGCACAGGGGAGAGACTTTTTTCAAGTTGTACCATGATTTTGAAGAAAACTATACAAAATTAGATAATATATCCTACTTGGCTTTAAAGCACACTATACTTATTATAAGATTAACAATTTTGAACTAATTCATCGAACAAATGAAGTTTTCCTCTATTGCCACCAAAAATACCTCTTATCGTATAATCACATATACCGAGTGTTGCATCATCGAGTGGGACATAAGAGCATTAGAGAGCACTAAAAACCCACATTGAAAAGAATAACTTTAGATATTTTTGATTGTCCCTTTTACGAGTTATCGCCAATTTCTTTTTAAATATTTCTCCGTTTTTATGGCCCTTTGTACAAGTTTTTAATAACAATAAAGCACATATTTCCAAATGACAACTTCATTTGTCAGTCATCTTTTACCTTGACTGGTGCTCGTGCATACAGGGTCATAAAAAGGAAAAATATTTAAAAATAAATCAGCGGTAACTCGTAAACGGGCTAACCAAAAATATCTAAAAGTTATTCTTTTGAATGTGGGTTTTAGTGTTATTTAATAAATCCAAATACAATTTTTCTCTAAAATAATTAGGGAAGACAATAACTGGCCCTATTCAAATTACATAGGATTTCATAGTAATTTTAAAATCAAAAAGGGTTATTTTTAATTGTGATATAAAGAATCTTTCATAACTAATTATATAAAGTTGATCATTTGACCCAGCTGCAATTACAAAAAATGTCACTTTATATGTCAAAATTAGAAAAAATAGATTTTATATGAATATTTTTAATTTGTAAGAATTTAAAATTACTAATAAACTCGTAATGGATGTTTTCCACATTTATAAGACTCAGAAAATGTTCGATTTGATTTTTTATGAAAGAAAATGTTGGACAGAAGCATGTTGTGTTATTCATGAATGAAAGTTTTGATCATCATAATAATAAGTCTACCCACATAGGTAGCATAAACGATGATGAGATCTAAAGAATAGTGGAAAAAAAGATTATGAAATCTATACTAGGGACCTTTTGAAATAACTTGTGGGAACTATAACATAAATAAAAGAACATTAGTAATAATAAAAAAAACAGTGTAGTTGGTTGGTGATTGGGTCACTTTAGGGCACAGGTATGAAATCATATATGATGAGTTAGTCATTGTTACAATAAGACACTGAAAGAAGATCGATAGACTTAGAAAAATGGTTAAAAGAGGTGGAAGAAGATCCAAACAGTACATATGAAAATGTTTAAATGATAGGAAAATATGGATACGTATAACTAAATGTATAAAGTGATTGGAACTGATCCAGATGTTTTCAGTCACATATTTGAAATGTTAACAGATGTCTGACGGACAAGTCTGCAAAGTGGACATGTCCAAACACACTTTTCGAAAGTGGAAAAGTGTTGTGAGCATACCAAAAATTAAATTTGGCTGAATTTATTATAAACAAAGACAAAATATAGTTTAAAAAAAGAAGAAACAAATGACTACTCACTTTTATATGTTTTATCTTTTTTCTGATTAGTGTTTGAGATATAAGAGAGATATTGCACATTTCTGTAACATCAGTCACTAATAAATAGTGACAACATAATTAGCTGCAAATAAATTACATGCTAAAATAAAACTTATTGGAAACCTGCTGTTTTGACATTAGAGTCCTTGTCTTAACTTCATTTTAAATCCTTAAAATCATGCTTCATCTTCATTGTTGTCTATAATAGCACATAATATGGAAAAGGCATTGGAAATTGCAAAAAGGTCTACTAATTAGTGTGTGAAAGTCCAATACCTCAGTTGTTTTTCAAAATTCGAAAAAAATGGCAACTATCTACGTAAGTTGGTGGCATATGAAAAACTTTAGGAAAAAAAGTTGTTCTTCATAAAAAGTCGAGAATAGTCTAAAACCTAATATACAATAGAATATCAAATTTTATCAGTCGTATACGAGGTTTGTCAAAAATAAAGGTACATTACCCTTCCGCAAAAATCATATTTTTTGACAAACCTCGTATACGGCTTAAAAAAGTTAATATCGGATGGTTGCATTTTAAGTTTTGGAACATTTTGAAATTTTTATCGAGAATAAATTTTTTCACAAAACCGATAATAAAAAAGTTTTTCATATGGTTCCAACTTAAGTAGACACACCTTATATTTAAAAATCAGAATAATTATCATCAAAACAAGTTACCTAACCTCAGAAGGTTTTTAAATTAGACCATTTTCACATTATTAGTATTTAATGGTTATAATCCAATAATTACAGTCACTATAATAAGTAAGGCAGGCCAATCGTGTACTTAAAAATTTCGCCGTTTTAAGTAATGGCACTTTGGTAATCTTATGTGACATACACAGTAAAGACTATGCTACTATTAAAGTTAGTCATACAGACTCAATAACACGTTGAATTTTAACTATTTTGGTGATAGACATATAAGACTCACTGTTAATGGGGACTAAACTGAACAAAAATGTTTAAACAAAATCACAAGACGCTTTAGTCATTGTTTTTGTCTCTATTCTAACAACTTTGATTTCTTATTAACACACCGCACAGTGCTACGAACGTTTAACGACTCGCGAAATTCAAATTTTTGATTAAACCGGAACACGAGTTACGAAATAATGAATTTAATCCTTTCATTTGCACCATACTGTATATGAAAATAAATAATATGGATTTTTATTTAAAGGACAAAGCTACAAAAGAAGCAATATCAGAAGAACAAGTAAATGGTGCCCATACAGCTGACGGAGAAGATTCCACTTCCATAGACAGTTCCAATGGTTCCCTAATCAAGCGAAAACTAGGTTACAATTTCGTAGCGGAAGACTTCGAAGGTATAACACTCAGGCGCACCAAATGCCTCGAATGCGAAAGTGTCACAGAACGTAAAGAACCCTTCTATGATATACCAGTACCCATTTCACCCATTTCTCAAAAAGATAATGAGGAGGACAACGTGAGTGATATTTTTCGAAGAGCGTGCGTTACCACTGAGAAACTTTGCGACTCTAATAAGTATCTGTGTGAAAAGTGCGAACGATACAATGAAGCTAGTAGGGAAGTACTATTCGAGAAGCTACCTAATATTATGGTATTACAGTTAAAGAGGTTTACTACTACAACATCTGGAGTTCAGAAGGTTAATACGTACCTGCCTACACCATTGGCATTAGAGTGTTTTTGTGAAAGCTGTTGTAAGGTAATCTTAAAATTATTAATATTATTAAGGGCCAATCTGTTCACCTCTGAGTAAAGTTACACGTAGAGTTACTTGGCAGATCAATGAACTATAGCCTATAGTCTAATCAGCAAGTAGTTAATTTCAACCTTACTCAGAGGTGAAAAGACCTACCCTAATACTAATAATTTTTTATATTTTATATCTGGAATAGTATTATTGGCTTCAAACCGATACTAGCTTTTTCTTAATATTTCATTTATACCTCAGTCTCAATAGTTTTAAAACTGATGTTATTCAAATCATGTTGCCATAGAAAATACAAAAAATAGGTTTTATATAAAACAAAAATATTTAAGACTTTTTATCTTTAAATTAAAACATGTTTTATTGATTTATTTTTTACAAATTTCGTTTAAACTCATTTTGTGATAACTTAACTTACAATGTAAAAGTCACGACATTTGGAGAAATTGTCTTATTTGGCAACCAGATTAATATATGAGGACAAATTATCAGGAATCATATCCATCATAGTTTATTGTTTAAGAAAATCTATATAAATGTTTTTCTAAATTTTGCTTACTCTGCTAATTTAGTAATAAATACTAAATAAAAATTATTAACAATTTGAATGATAACATTCCACTTACATTATTGGAACAGTATAGGTAGCAAAGAAGACAGAGCCACATCAAATTTTTTACAAATTGAAGTATCATAAAGAAATACAAAAGGAATTCAAGTAAAAATACAAAATTCGTAACAATGGTTTGAGTTTATCTCAAGCACTTTTGATACAGGGTTACTGATTGTTACTATGTTGTTCCATCCATTTTCTAAACACTCAATAGCTGAAAAAACACTGATTGCTTCGTTTATGGTATAGCATTTATGAATCAATTTGCAAGAATGTCAAATTCCCAAACAATTCTAAAGGTACACTGTAATAATCATTAATAATAATTCTGATTAGTTGAGCCTTGCCTATAATAACTAGCATTATTCAAAGAATATACTCTGCCTGGATTTGCTTTCATTCAATGACAGTTGCCAAAATCTAATCACTTTCTTGTTCTTGTGTTATTAGATTAATAAAACATTTATTATTATCAGCATAAAAGAAATATATATTTAATAATAAAGAACCCAGTGCTGAAAACTGCGGCACTCCATTTGCCACTTTATAAAAATTGACCCTTACTTGACTTGTTCTGCCAGAAAATCTTTATGCAATATTTAATCAATACCACAGTCTTTTGTGTTGCACAAGATCAATAGCTCCACTAAAATTAAGATATACCATGAAAAATATTTTTAAAAAATCGTAATAGTCCATTTTTTATAAAGCATTTTTTATCTCTACTTATGCTTGTATTACTTCATACTGTTGGTTATTGGAATAAGCAACTTGTTCTCGTTCATTCCTAATTAGCAGTATTTTGTTACCATCAAAACTATGAAAATATCTTTTTCAGAAATCCAACAATTAGCTTACTTTTAATGAACTTATTCTACAATTTTCGTCATTTTAATTTTTCAGAACCTTCATTCCAAATTACAGGTAGAAGACAACCAATCCCGAATCCACAGATACAAACTCTGTTGTGTCATAATGCATCTAGGTGGTACTATGGCTTCGGGGCATTACATCGCCTACGTCAAAGCATCGGATCATCTTGAGGATTACACAGACTGTTCGCGAGACCTGCCTAAGGGCAGTCTCTCTGCTAGCAGCAGCGAAAAATCATTAAATATTTTAAAGTTCCTCAAACCCCGGTCGTTTGGAAACTCCCTCATAGATGGAAGGAATGGACTATCATCGAGAAGTGTCAATGGTATAAGGATGTGTAAAAGTGTCGATTGTTGTGGTGTCAAAATCAACAAGAACGTAGTGGAGAATGTTATTAATAGTTTTCCGAGGAAAAACGCCCAAGATTACAAATGGCATCAAAGTAATCCTTCCTCGGAAGATATGTGGTTGGAGTGCGATGATGAAAACGTCAGGGCAATTACCACCCAAGAGTTTGTAGAAGAACTGGCGAATAAGCCTAACTCCACTTCTACTCCCTACTTGTTGTTTTATGCCAAAATCACAGACCAAGTTAGTGACTAATGGTAGTTTTGTAGTGTAGGATTGAGAAAGAGTTCAAGTGGACATGGTACAAAAATTTTATACTGCAGTATTTAGGCTCGCGTTTGTCTCCATAGTTTTAATTTTCGAACAAATGTTGTACTTTTTTCATATTTGTTCATAGTTAATGATAATATATTTTGTTGATAATGTATAGAGGTGTATTTTTTTCTACTAATGGTTACGTTATCAGAATTTAAAAAGGAAAACTTTTAAATTTTCTAGATAAATTACGAATATCACAGTCGACTCTGCAAGCTTAAATCTACCGAGTGCTATAATTTGGCAGTTCCTGTTTGACTCAAATTAAAATAATTCTTTTATGCTATATCAACTATTTTAAGCACAAAAGAACATTTCAGATTATATTCTAGTGGAAATAACAGTAAAAAAAATATGCTATCAACTTCTTTTTATAATGGAAAACTTTCACCATTTTTTTGAACTTTTGGCTCAATTTTAATTACCAATTATAAACAATTATTGTCTCATCTGGAACCTTGGAATCTTTTAATTCATAATTATTTACAATGATCAAAATAAATTTTCATGTTTGTACAAGGTGAGTCAATAAATATTAAAAATATTGAACCATGTTTTGTAAAATTTATTGATGAAAACAATCTACTCGAATGAAAATATCATGTAAATGCACAATCGTTCATTTTCTAAAATAATTTCCAAAAGATGGCCTCCATTTTTTCGCACATATTTTTGCAGCTCCTTTGTGAAGCTGTCCATAACTTTGCGCAGCATTTATAGCGGTGTTTCAGCCACTTCCCGTCGATTCCTTTTAATGCCTGGATAGTCTTTGGGGGTAACTGTGAAACACTTGTTTTTAGGTGTCCTTGTAGGAAAAAGGTCGCATGTGGGTAAGTCGGAAGAACGAGGTGACCAAGGAATATCGCCGTTCTTATTCATAAGACGACCGGGGAACGCCTGTCTCACACGGCAAATGCACGCTGTTTGCCCGACCACATGATAACTAACTTTCTGCTCTCTAGATTCACAACGTTGACGGCCCAAACCCATTTTATTGACCCACCTTGTATTATTGGCATGCCGGCATCTTTGACATATTTGGATTTCTAATAGATGAGCTCAATGCCGGTAAATTTAAAAATGAGTCAAAAATTTTAATTAAAATAAAGTAAAAAAGAAAGCAACTTTTATTCCTTGGATTATACCACAGGAAAAAAACTCCTATTTGATTTGTAACTAATATTAATTACAAAAAAATATTTGATCGAACATTACCAGTGATTACCAGTCTCTGGACATTGCCAGTCAACGTGAAATATAAGTTCTTTTCAGAACATTGGAAGTGTGCTCATAGCTCATTGTCTGCACCATAGTGGGTGCACCTCAAACATCATTTATGGCAATATCTGACGATAATGTAGATCCTGTCGTCTTCCTTATTAATTCAGATCTTTCCTAAAGTATTTTTTGACTAATCATGTGGTATTTATCTTTTGACTTCTCTAGCGCCTGTTAATTTTCCGCCTGTCTTCACAATTTTTGCTTTTCTTTTCCTTTCCGTTTAGCAGCAGTTTAGACGAGGTAGATGTTAAAATCGTGGAATGTTATTTTGGTCTTCCTTTTGACTTTTGTACTCTTATATTTTTTTACCTTTGGAAATAGCTCACGAACACTTATAAGAGTAGGTTCTTTAGAAGAATCGATTAGAAAGATCTCCGTGACTTTAAAGTTTGATTTGCCTTTTCAAACTGATGAAACATTACAAAATGCTCTTCGAAACAATGAGGCAGCTTCATAGGGTGCCATTTCTTCTCCTACAAATAATTTTATGTACATATTGCACTCATTTCTATAGTGAGCCTTAAGAAGACCATCGTCTAATGGGTTGGGTACAATGTGACCTACAAGGTGGTATAAATAGTATATTGACATAATTATCTCTCCAATAATGGTAGGATGCAAGAGATATGTGACAGCTGTTGATGCTTAAAACTTTTTCGGTTGGCATTGAATGATTCACAATATGTTTTAGCCATTCTAAAAGCAATCATTTTTGCTGCATGAGGGCCATCTTTTCCCAAAACGGGGCGAATGTCTCTGTCGAGGAAAAATTAATACTGGCGGCGTAAAACTGCCTGTCGCCCTCATTGCACAAACAAGCTAATTCCAAAGCCTTTCACGGCTAGAATTTTCCTGATTTCTGCACCGTGGAAATTCCAGTCTCGTTTATATTGTAAGTAAATGTTTCTGGATGAAATCACTCGATTTAGTGCCAAAATATTGAGGCTAGGTACTTTGAGTTGTCATTTCGACTTCTTGTTCCCAAACTAGAAATATTGTTCTTTTTTAGGCTTTCTTAAAAAGTTGAAAATGGAATTTCATTGTCTCTTGGCCATTTGCATTGAAACTCCTTCCTACAGCTGTTTAACTGCATTTAATGATTCAACTGACTATTTCACCCCATTAGTTTTTCTAATTCGTGTCTTCGGCATCTTGAATAAAATAGGTCAATTCTGGTAACCTAATCGCTGTATGTCATGCATTAACTCACTATTGTAACATGAAAATATTTTAAAAACAAACAGCTTATTACTCTAGAGCTAGTGTGAATTGGTCAGGGGTAAACGATACAACAAACATGATTTTGTGGACACTTGTTGCTGCTAATTTTTTTTAGCATGAATATAGGATGATCAGTATTGCCTACTGTTCAGCATTGCACCGTTTTACCATACTCCCTTTTACAAATTTCTCGATATGTTGCGATTTCAGTTATTTCTTCATTGATAATAATTAATATTTTTTTGTGAAAAATTTTGATAATTATAATAGGGCTTTGAAAATGATTAAAGGTAAAAGTTTTTTATAGCTTCAAAGGTATCAAAATTATTGTTTTTTTTTTAAACCTAGAAGTATTGAGAAAAAATCAAGTCATATTAAAATATGAGATAATATGACAAAGTATCAAAATCTTTAATAGTTATAAAAATTTTATTATGGATTCACTTGTGTATGTAAAATTATGGATAAAAATGTTTTTGGTCACTATAAATGGCATGTCGCTAACTAGTTTAAAGTGATGTCAATTGTCACTTGTCTGTAAACTAAACTTGAATAAATGTCAACTGAAAAATTAGTATGGTTTTTGATACTTTTCTTTTAAAGTACAATTATTTTCAGATCAATGTAGTAGAAGTTTGTTTAATCTAAATTGTTGAAATTTTTGTACCATGTTATCTTTGTTCTTTTGCAAAATCTAGGGTACATTGTTTAACATTTTTTTAGCTAGTACAAAAACATTAAAGTGATCTAATGTGATATCACAGAATATTTATATTGACATTTAACAATGAAAAAAATTTAAATGAATGTACCTATTTAGGTAGTTTGTTGAAACAAAAAATAAACTAATAATGTGCTTGTTTTTCTGGCAAAAATGCAAAATGAGCTTCGAAATAAATATCACTTTTTTGTGATGCCTTTTGGGCACTATGTTATAGTTGTATATTTTTTGTGTTTATTATTTTTCTTCTTCATAAAACTCTATATGAAACGCTATATTAAAAAAAATAAATGCTTGGTTTTCAAAGAATAAATCTGTATTTTCTATTCATTATTGTTACAAAACTGCTCATTGTGTTACTTTGACAAAATTCTTACATCTAAAGAAAGAATATATTTCGGATTGACAGATAAAAATAAAGCAGACTGGATAACTACCAGGAAGATAAAAAACAACAGCTAAAACCAAAGAGGCATGTTTTTGTCTAAATTCAACTGTAATATATCTTTCTCCTACCTCTTACCAATGCAATTTATGAATATCCCAGAACTCACGGTACATTCTCTTGGATTTATGATTATTAATTATAGGATAGGTGTGTCCCCCTTGGACTCCCAATGGCTGAACTTCAGAGGACAAATATTTTTACAAAACTGGATCAATGGCTATAATATATCATTCATTTATGTGTATTTTTTACAATTATAGAAAATTGTTCTGTATAACCATTGTATTTAGATATCCAAGTAGAACAACCTTATAGACGTTTCATTGGAGGTAATCCTGTCGCGTCATCTGTTAGAACAAGTACAGAACTTCATCGAAATGGCCCGTGCGCTAGCGCTCCCTCGATCATTCAGTATAGAATTCTATATACATAAATTTTTCATTATATTTAAATTTTTCTGGATAGATTACCAAATTTAAATTCTCTAACATTATAAATCGTAAATAAATGTACATCAAAAACAATAAATCTCGTTTTTAAAACAAATATTCGGTTCATAACTCATCTATAGGTTGATTTTTGTAAATAGAGAAATTATGTTTATAATTTGGTGTTTTTTATAAAAGTAAAAAGTTTTGTGTTATTGCATTATTGCCACGTACAAGACCAAAGGTAGCAAATATGTTATCCATTATTTTTAAAAAGAAGACAATGTGTTCTCCCTGTTTTTCCATTTTTATCACAAACTATTTGCCTGGAAGTTATTCACTCTGTTTAATTTAACCTGTATAGTTTGATAAAATAATATATGGGAAGCTGTCATTTTTGTATTTAATTCTGATTTGTCGATTTTTATTCCTGAAAGTAAGTACCCACAGTTTATAGATACCTTTAAATAGGTGTATACATATTTATAGGTATCTATTATACCTCAGGAAAAACAGAAGTTGATTAATTTGGAAAGTTTTTAATGTTGGAGATCATAATTGAGCCTATGGCTTTTAAAACTATCAATAATTTTGGAGGAACTGCTTTTGACTGGCTGATAAGATATTAGTTTTTTATTCGAACTATACCTTACCTTAGACCATATTTTAATCTAGGAGTAATCGGAGCGAGTTAATTTTTTGTCAGATATTGAATAAATGGGGGAATGTGGTATCATTTTGTTTAAAACTAATTTTTTTAAACAATTCTTAAAAAACAGACCTTATTGATGAAAATGTTCATACTTAAAATACATTATAAAGAATTGAAAAAAAAAATTGTTAAATATAATATTTTTTTAGATTTATAAGGCGTTAAAATTCGCCAAAATCGTGATTTTTTTATACATTAAAAAATGCATACCTTCTAAAATATTAACTTAATCAAAAAATGTATAGGACCTTATTTTATTTTTAGTATTAAAGTAAAAAATATGAAAAATTTGCCCCGTTTTAAAACAGGAATTGTTTAAATAATTTTAAATGTTAAGCAAAATAGACCAAATTGGCATGGCATATTTTTAAAAGATTCTGACAAAAAAATGCACTTAGTTGAATGCGTCCTTGAATAAAAATCGAAGTTCACAGGAATTTAGAGATGCATCTTAACAAATTCGCAAATGTACCTTACATTTACTGATGTGTTACTGTCTATCTCTAAATTCCGATGCAACGTTATTAGATTTTTGTTTGAGGACGCACTCTGCCCATACCGACTTAGTCCTTTCTAAGTCAAATGATCAAGGTTCCATAAATGTCGATAGCCACCCATTTGAAACTATCGTCATTGCAATTTTCGTTTCTAGGTTATCTTTTGAATACTTCAATTGAATAGGTAATCGGTGTTGGCCCATCATTTATATTTTTGTAATATTCACGTAAAGACCTTAATCGCCGCCTCAGAGCAACAGTATAGGACAGGCCTGCCTAGATTTTCAAAGGGCCAGATTTGAACAACCGTAACCCGTAACTGTACGAGGGCCTGAGCCTACAATAGTCGGTTAAAAAAAAAGGTCGTCAGCCTAAATGCAAGTTTGTTACTGAAAAATGTATAATTTGACGTAAGCGGGCCAAACTGGTCAACGGCCAGCGGGCCGCCAAAACGACACTGCACCCCTGGTGTAGGACATCAATAAAATCTCAATTCTGATATAATTCGATTTAAAACTTTCATGCGTATTTCAATCTCGAATAACTCTGGCTCTAGTGAACGCATCTCAATGAAATTTTGGACACTTTCTGAACTTTCAAATGATTTTAATTTAAAATCAATAAATGTCGTTGTTGCTATTAAACTGCATGACATTTTGTAGGATATCAAAGTAAATATAACAGCTTAGTGTTTGCCTACAAGAATGAATACTTTGCAAGGACATCATACTGCAGAAAAGACTTGTTTCACACTTTTCAGAGATTAAATTCAAATACAAAAAAAAAACAAATAGTGAATAATGCTTTATTGAACTAAAAATAGATGCCTATAGAATACGTGAATGAAATTCACACAAGCTGAGAAAATCATTCCTCTTGTTATTTGGTATAGGCGGTGGGTTCATTCTAGGCTGAAATTAATGTAACTTCCCTGCGTTGCTTCCACGTTTTTCTTATGTCTCCTGAGTAAGATGTATAGAATATTTTGTTCAGATTTTCTTTCTTCATCCTTACAACTTTAACTTCATTCCAGGAAACTTTTATTCCATTTTCATCAATGTAATAGGCAGGTAATATAGATTTAGCATTGTGTTTTTGTCTAACCTGAAGATGTATTCTGGTCCCGAGTTGGTTTTATGTTTCTGTTCTATTCTAATTTCTTTGTCGTTTCCTGCTTCTGATGCGTCCTTAATCATTTTAAAATTGTTCGTCATTCTCATCAACTTCGATTTAGTCTGGATTTTCTCCCATTTTTTTTGTTTTTCTTGATATTGCCGTTTTCTAATTTGTTGTCTTTGTTCTCATCGTTTTCATCGCAGTCGGGGACGAAATATGGATCTCTCAAACTATCGTCATGAGAAAAATCAGTTGCACTATGTTCATCAGAATGCTGTGGGTCCTCGAGTTCTACAGATTTTGTTCTTCCGTTGCTTCTTTGTATTATTACCATCTGTTTTAGTTATATAAGCTGAACATGATCTTCACTAATATAATTTGCTGATGTAGGGCCGTTTTCATTTAGCCAAGTAACTTTCACAACAGTTGTTACTGGACCATCGAGAAATGGCAGTTCATCATCAGGTATGCTGAAATTTTCAATATCGAGCCATTGTTCAACACTCTTGCTTTTTTCTGGTTCCAGATCAGCTGTATTGGACATTGATTCACCAGTATCTAAAGAATAAATGAGACCTTTCTAATCTACTATCGTTTATAATAGTTTGATAGTCACAACATTTACTTATAAAAATTGCTGAATGAATCAGAACTCATTTTCGAAAGTAATATAGAGCATTGCCTGTAGATAACAGATTCTGTTTGAGAATTATTGAAAAAATAAAACAGTTGATACACATTTACCTGTACATTCTTCAGACGCTTGACATATTTTTTTATCATACCAACTATGTACTGGTCCATTGATAATGATTTATTTTTCCGATTCATATTTATAAATTCACTTGCCACACAAATACTAAATTAATCTAGAGACGTTATTATCAGTTGAATCGTTTCCAGAATACTAAACAAGCTGAGACATGTGTAAGTGACGAGTTAGGACGACAGAGCAACATAAGGATAGTTAATGTATTGGCGTGAGAATTTCAGTGCTACAGCAGGATATATTATCACACCCTACTTTTACACTAATTGAACATAGATTTATAAACTTCTGCAACACAAAGTTATGTTAAAAATAAAATGTATCATGACGCCCTAGGTGCAGAGACATTTTCTAAAGCTAAAACCTCAATAATTCCGAAAGCACTATTTTGTGGATGTCCTACTGTTCTCTGAGGCGACGATATTCTAAGCAAGCTTGCTGTCTAACATAATTTTACTCAGATCCTACATTTCTTCATCCATCGGTTCAATATCATCGGCAACAGCAGATTTTAAACTGCTGATGGTTGTTAATACGTCTCAACCAATTGCGTATTTCTGGACCTGAGTATTAAAAGGGCAAATTCCATTTTTGCTGATTGCCATCATCAAAATGCTCAGGTTGAATACCATGTATGCAAAAAGGCTCCTGGAGTTACTGGTAATGATTTTCTAATCTTAAAGTAGGGGTTATCTCCAAATTAGTTTAAAGCTAAAACGGCCGAAGTGCACACATAATTATGCAGTTTCTTCTACTTGTTATTTACAAATGGCCAATATCCTTAAAGCGTTGAGATTGGCGCACTAAATGCGACTGTCTTAAGTTAGGTCTAAAATATATAATGCATCAAGTATATGTATTAAATTCACCCGAAGAAAAATACTAATGAAAACAAATAAATCAATTTATTTTTAATTAATTTGTCACTTTTAACAATTTCTCAAAACAGTGAAAATGGAGATTGGTCTTTTTAATACTCAGATCCAGATTTATCAGAATTAATAATTGTAAATCTATTGACAGAAGCCACATGCTTTTGGTTAAGTAGCAACACGTTTCATCCCGCTTTCAAGACATGTCTAACAGTTGAACACAGAATGTTCCATTTTCTCCTGTCTCTTACTCTAGTTCTCTCCAATTTTTAATATACACATTTCTTTATCAGATATTTTTTCATGCTTTTATCAGCGTTCTTTTTCCGTCAGGCAACGTTATTTACGTTTTTCCTCCAACGTCTCAACCATTACAGTTTTTTCTTTATGTAAATTCGTAGAAAGGGCAAATAATTCATAGTACATTCTACTTTCCAAATATATTTTCCTTTCCCAGATTTCTACTTATTTTTGGTTCATGACTCACGTCATATGTTTGTTACTATTGTGTCTAATACAGATTTCTACATTCTTAATTTTGTATGTTTTACCTTTGACCTTATATTTTTTTAAGTTATACTAGGGGTGAGCGGAAGGAAGATCGAAAGTCGAAAGTGACAAAAGATCGAAATTGAAAATGAACGAAAATAGAACAAATGATCGAAATTACATAAGATCGAAATTAAAAATGATCGAAATAACGAATGATCGAAATAAGGAATGATCGAAAGTACTAATGATTGAAATGATATATAATCGAAATGGTATATTATGATCTAAAGTCTTTAATTACGAATTGAAGATATATATGGAAAATGGATGCATTATTTCTCATTTTTGTTTGGTTTCAAATATGAATTTAACATTTTCTTCTGAGTTTGTTTTTTCATCTGTTTCTTTCATAAAAATTTGGCTCACTATACCTTCATACCAAGCCCCCGTATCATCCAGTAATACATCAACTAAATCTCCTATCTTATAATATTTGCTATTAACATCAATTAAAACGTGTTCGTTTTCTTCTTCTGGTTCTTCCTTTATATCAACAATTTCTTCTTTGTTTGATTCGTTTGATTTGTTGTTACAATTATTTGAATGGTGCCACCTTCTATTATTTTGTAATCTAATAATGCAACATTGCCTTGAAGTTCTTTACCAAAATATAATAATCTTTGTTGTGATTCTGGGATTTCCAGTCGTTTGTCAATCTCGTTTTTCAATTCGCTAACCAGAGCCTTTTTAGAAATTTCAATAACAGCTCCTCGAGTTCCATCTAGAGGTTTAATATTGATTCTCATTTTGTATAGCTATTTTGTACTCTTTCACCCTTTGTCTTTTGTAACTACGTTAAACACATCGACGGCACAGACAGTACATATATTACTTGGTCACTTTTGTTACAATGAACAATATTAGATAATAAGAACAGTTTGATTTAAACCAAAAACCGTTAAAAACTTTAGAAATAACAAACGACTTTCACCAGATATAAAAACACGTAAACTGCCAACAAAATAAACGGTGGTAAATGATTTTTTTGCTTCTTGCTTGCCCTTTAGTAGACGTCAGAAACTTGTATACTCATCTACAGCTGTACACTCGGCTTCCAAACTTTCATTTGAGGCCTCTGTTTCCAACATTTTATTAAATATGTTTCGATCCAGACCTCGAATTTCTTCATAATTTTCTTCCAATGTTTTAAATGAAGCTCTTACCTCTATTTTATTCACATCGATGGTATCGATTGATAGAGATATTGTATTATATAGCCTAGTGAATGCACCTCGCTGGATTGCCCTTACTCTCTTCGCCCTTTCCATTATAAAGCTTGGAATGTTTCACAATATTAAAAAGAATATGTCCTGTCACGGTCGCCAAATGTGAAATACCAGTCCAAAGAATTAGGTTTATCGTAGAGCAAAACTTTATTAAAAATTCTTACAATTCAAAAAATGTGACATTCATGTATATAATTCAATTCACCATCAATCAATCAATTTTTTTAAACAAAACTATCAAACAATCAAAACAACATACTACTTAGATACTATAATATCATGGACAGGATGTTACACACTCCCACCTTGCTATTTTAACTATTCTAAAAAATTGCAACTTGAGATACAAAACGGTTAGATTGGCCTTTAGCTCGTATAATACAAGTGTATCCGGGTAAAGATAATAATATTAGGTTAGTTCGATTACGCACAAATTCCGGAGAGTTATTGAGACCCGTACAAAGAATTTTTCCATTAGAACTAAAGACTGATAATAAGGATGTCGATCCTACGACTAACAGCAAATGCAAAAATGATAGCGTAGACAAAGGTGTAACAAAAGTGATAAAAACTCGTAGTGGTATAATAGTCGTAGCACCGAAATCCTTAAATCTAAATACCTAACAATTTTGTATCTCAAGTTGCAATTTTTTAGAATAGTTAAAATTGCAAGGTGGGAATGTGTAACATCCTGTCCATGATATTATAGTATCTAAGTAGTATGTTGTTTTGATTTTTTGATAGTTTTGTTTAAAAAAATAGATTGATTGATGGTCAATTGAATTATATACATGAATGTCACATTTTTTGAATTGTAAGAATTTTTAATAAAGTTTTGCTCTACGATAAACCTAATTCTTTGGACTGGTATTTCACAAAAATAATGTATAATTCCTTTTGCTTCTTTTGGAATGAGATTACTTTTTCGTAAAATATCATAACGTTTAAGGACATAGTTTACTGGTACGAAGGCTATAACCGTCATCATTTTAACAGAAATTTGAAATTCCGCATCTTTGTCGTATTTAACTTTCAGACCAATTGATTGAATCTTTCGATAGCTTGTCTGAAATGAAAATAGCAGCCATGTCGCGTTGCTTTCGGAAAAATTAGTGCACATGTTTCGATAACAGCCATCTCAAAGTTAGTAATAATAAAGCCAACTTTAGGTTCTTTTAAGAATTCTCGTATTTTTTCTAATAATAAAATATAGGTTTTTTGTTTTGTTAGGCAATAAAGCGTAAATCAATGGATAGTAACCAACATTAATTTTAGCATGAATAGTATACATCTGTAGAAACAGATTAGGTATCTTTTTATGTACCACTGTTGGCTACGAGAAATAAATTCTATGTTGGTCTGCAGTCCTAGACTAATTATTCTGTCTTTCGAATTTGAATCATAAAGTACGAATTCCTCACCTTTTTTAGTTTCTTTTATATTGGCCTAGAATAATGATGTCTTCTAGTTTTAACGGTACCGAAGGTCCGGAACTGTCTTTTTGACGTACCTATCTAATAGTTCTTCTTAAACTATTCACAGACGTGCTGGATGTACTAGCAACAACACTGCTGAAGCATTAGATAATATTGTAAGTGGCGGATCGTTGGTTTCGATGGCTTGCTTTGTTTATTTCAGTTTTCATTCTACTGACCTCTATTGATTCTGGTGTACCCTCATGATTATGTTCTTTCGTAGAGGACATTGTTACCGTACTTGATTATTGCCCTTCCCTCAAAACCTTCTCCATTTTTCGCACTTAAAATATTCTGTTTCATTGCAAACTTTTTCCTATAAGTACATACAGTCTGTTCGCTATACTTACGCGGGTTTCGGATTAACAAAATTATGCAAATTAGTCATTGACAACCAGTTCCAATAAGCCTCTTCCCAAGAAATGAGGTAAGATTTAAATTAAAATAACATTAGGGTAGGTACTAAATTTGTTACAAATATTGCAGTTGAATTGATTCTTTGCAAGTGTTGACATTGTATGTATATTGTAGATTTACTGGAAATTTTAAAAATGCCTAGACGTGTGTTAGATGTAGATAGTCTAATTTGTAGTGTACGTAAGTATTTTACGGATGAAAAAGAAAATGGCGGTCCTTTAAAATCGGTAATGTCTGTACAACAATGCGTATGCGATGCTCTAGGAATTAGTGAAACCAAATTAAGAGGAGTATTACAAAATCACAATAGTGAACTGCCGAAAGAAGTTCACCGCAAAACTCGCCCATCATTGAAAACGAAAGATATTCCAGATGGAAAGAAATTTGAAATTCGTGATACCATTTATCGAATGAGGGCCAACAAGGAACATGTGACCTTACATACAATTCTCTCGGAATTAATAGATAGAAAATTTGACGACTCGTGAAAATAAAATAAACGAAATAAGTCCAATCATAATAACAATTAATGGTGATGACAGTGATGATGATGACGATTATGATATTTTGGATGATAATGACTGATTTTCATTTTTGTTGGCAAGTTCAATTTTTTTATTTTTCATTTGAAATTCTCTACATGGAATAAATTTTTATGTTAGAAAATATTTTATTTGAACTAAATAACCCTCCTATTATACATTGACCATATTTTCTGTGTGAAGTGTAATATAAAATTATTATTAGGTTTATAATAGCCACATTAGACTCCATTAATGAAGAAGTTTAATTCTGCTCTCAATTATACAAAAGATTCTCCATTATTATTTAATTAAAAAGTTGTACATTATTTTTCATTTCATTTAACCAGTTGATATTTCCCCAAAGAACAGGTCAAACTTTCGGGTACTTACCTGGAAATACTCATAAAAATTTTAATCTGAAACCCGCGTAAGTATAGCGAACAGACTGTATATCCATTGCTGTATAATTTTTTTGGCTAAACACATATTCGTAGGTTGACATTTTTTAGTGTCAAGAATCTTATTTTTAAAATATCAAGTTTGAAAACACCTAGCAACAAGATACAAAGTTGCTCTACGTTAAAGTGGTCAAAACATTTTAGTTAAAATTAAAAATGACAAATGTAGGCTCGTAACGTGCTTCCAATGATTGTTCTCTTCTTTTGTACCTTTCGATCTTTTTTACGTTCGACTAATTGTATTTTCGATCATTTGAACTTTCTACCAATTGATTTTTCGACCAATTATATTTTCGATTATTTGTACTTTCGATGTTTTGTATTTTCGACTATTTACAATTTCGATCAATTTTTTCCTTCGACCTTTTGACTTTCGTTCATTTTTTCAGCTGTTTTTAGCTATACGTTGGTTGATTTATTTGTCTTCTTCGTGTCTTTTCGTTATCAGGACTCCTAAATACATAATTATTCTTCTACCTCGATTAATACGAGTATTTTATGGCGTTTTCCATTGCAATTATTAGTGCGTTCTGAATGTATTCTCACTTTCTTCTTTTCCGTATCGATAAACAAGGACACAAATATACTCAGTGCGTAGTGCCAATGCCAATGGAAAACGCCATTAGTTTTCTAAAATTCTATTTATTGTCATATTCTTAAGTTCCATGAATTTTGTTTTGCTTTGGTTAAATTGTAGACCTATAGTTTTTAGACATACTATTAATTTTTTCGTAATTTATTAATTTTTCCTGCTTCTTATTTTTATTACAACAAAAAATTAATAACAGATGCATTAAACACTTCAATGCAATTGACTCTAAAAAATTGGTGATAGTCTTTCTATATTTTAACAATAAAAATCCAATTTTTCACCTCGTCAATCAATAGTTTTTTTTTAATGTTAACGAAGCAACACCATGAGTAGTTGAAGAGTTTTTTTTTTCAAATCATCAAAAGGGATGTGATCAGTAATAGAAAATATAATTACCATAGTTTAATAAAAATAAACGAAAAATAGCGCATAGATAAGTTCATAAACATTGTGATAGACCTAGTTTTCTAGAGATTCTAAAAAAAGATACAATTTCAAATGTTTAGCGGAATACATCGATTTACTCAACTGCAGCAGAGCTCAAGAAAACGTTTCTTAAATCTATAAAAAAAAAAAAAAACTATTTCTATTGGCCAGTGTTTATATTATTTTTTATATAAAGAAATTACTTTTTGGCCATATTGGTCTTAAAATTTCGCTTAATATCTGTTACATGTTAGTGAATAAAAATTCGTATTTTAAAATATAAATATATAGAAACAACCTGGTAAAACTCCAATGATGCACCAAATTTCTATTTTTGAATTAATAGAATTCACACTGCATACAGAGTGTTCCAGACTGTTACTAGGGAACTACTTAACATTTTTATTCACAAATTATGAAATCTTAATCACGGACGTCATCACTAACAATGTGACGTCATCGCATTGAAAAAAGTGAAATGGATAAGAGGGGTGAAAATTAGCTCAAATCAGAGGGATTTTTGATCGACGGAGTACCTACTCAGTGAAATTATTAATCTGGATAATTTACATTTTAATATTTTCAGTAACAATTTAAATTGAATTCATAATATAGAGATGTTACATATATTTGTCATAACTGGAGTAATTTTTTTTTTCAATTCGTCTACATCTGCAGATTGTTCATTATAAATAAGGCCTTTTAAACAGCCACATACAAAGAAATCTGCGAATGTTAAGTTCGGAGATGGTGGAGGCCATTGAAAGGGCGTATTAGTTCCAATTCATGTTTTTAAATATGGTATTAAGATAATTGGTTACAAGTGCGCCATCTTTTGTCATAACATCTATCTTCTTTCATTTAAAGAAATATCCTCCAGCTATACCGCCTCTGCTTTTCTATGCCTCTTCTCGCCAATTCATTTCTTCCTCTTCCTGCGCCTTTCCTTTTTGAAGAAAATTCAAATGATCTTTAAAAAAATATGTACCTATTAACGTAGATTAAATGACCCAGAGATGTGTGGAAGAGAAGGGGTCATTTTGAACATCTCTAATAAAAGTATTACTAAAAATTTTAAATAGAAAATTTAGCATAATTATCCATATTAATACCCTCACTGTGATACACTCTTGAAAAATGGAATAAAACAAACCCGATCATTTGAGCACTAACTTTAATCCAGGAACAGCCTGTAAAAAAACTTCTGAAGCACTCTGTATACCTATTTAATTTGATTATTTTGGTAATTGTACAAATTTCCTTACCAATTAAATACATTTACTGTGTAATAAAAAAGATGTTTCAGTTAAAATACCCTATATGATGAATACAGAGTTTTGAGTGAAAATCTATTTTTTATTAAAATTAAAACTTGCAATAATTAAAATCTACATTTTCAACGAAATTACATCTTTAAAAGAAATTGTCCTCATTTCAGACTCGAATCTAGTAATAACATCAATACAGGCTTTCTGTTAGGATCAATTCCTCATTTGTTTTTACTTTGAGTTTTTTTTTTATTTATTGGTGTTTTACATACACTCACTCTTTATTTTGTATAACTCGTCAAATTGAACTGTGCGACTCCTTTTTTTTTAAACTTTATATTCACGAGGATGAATTAGTTGCCTCTGATATAGTAATAAAAATAACTAAAGTACTCAATATCGGTTTCTAGTTTTGAATTTTTTTCATAAATATTTATTTTGGAATTCCTGGAAAACTTGAAAAGTTTTTTTTCGGATAATAATTCTTCAATGCCTGAAATAATATATACATTATAATATATTTTCACAGTAATAGTATTAAATGGGTATTTAACTCTTACTTGAAAAGTTTAATAACTGGACATTAACTTTTAATATATATTTATTTTTCTGATGGTAGAAATCAAATCGTTTTACCATTTTTTTTTTTGTATGTAAAAAATTCTTTATAACAAATGAATATATTTACATAAAAATACTCCTATTTTTTTTATTTGTTGGTCTTTTTGTAAAAATGTTTTTTTTTTTTTTTTCATAAAATAAATATATTGAAAAGACATGGTGTTTATTTTTATTTAAAAATCAATAATTATAGTTGATCATTGAGGAAGTAGTTGTTTATAATGTACATTTAAATACTAAAATAGTATCGGTTATTCTTTTACCTAAATGACTTCTACGAATACAGATTTTAAAATAACTTAATTATAAAATATTAAAGCGTTTTGTTTGATATTTTTTTAAATCATAATTCAGCTATCAAATCTCCGGATATTTTCAAAATGATTGACCAGTGAGAAATATCCATTAATTTTGCAAAAACATTTGGTTCATTCAAATATAAAAGCTGAAACATCAAGTAATAATAACAATAAGCACCGTGTGTTACCTAAAATTGATTTTCGAACTAGAAGCCTTAAAATTTTTTGGGTCGCAGTTCAACCTGTCACATTCCTTATACTAAAAAAAATCACCTGTATAGTTTTATTTAAATTTAATTACGATATGTAAATACATTACTTTCAACATTTATAAATTATATAAATAATATAAAAATTACATAATTAAGTACATATAATTTAATAATACAGTGTGGCAACAATAAATTAAAAAACATTTTTGACAGATGGTTTGTAAATATTTTGAAAATTTTAAATTTGACCATTCAAATACATTTTTTTGTTTACTTATACATTGTGTTTTATTCTGTGTTTTCATAGGTGAGTCCGGAATATTAAAAGCATGAGTTAAACCATATCTTCAAAACCTCTAACATATATTGTTTATTTTATAGCGGTTTTTATGTTGTAATTTATTGCAAATAAGAAAACGTAATAAATTTAAAAATATTTGAAGAATAACTCCTCTCTTAAATTTGAGTCATTACTGTTTAACAAAATTTAAACTAAGACTGATACTCGACATTGTAATTCCAAGATAAAATGGTTACTCTTTTATATAATCTTCACCTGAAAACTTGTTTCTATTCTAATAAGCTAGAGATACATTTTTTTTATTCTGTTTTTTCATCTTTCGAGTATTTCCTCAAAATATTGCCGATTTCTTCAGCATGCGTATGCTGCCATTGTACATTTATTTTGACAGTTTCCAAAGACTGTTGAACACCCTGCTTCACATCTGCGAAATTCTTTTTGTTGGCCTCTATGAAATTCTCAAACTAAAATACAAAAAAATATATATTTCTATTTGGTGAGCATTTTTCAACTTTAAAATGTTTAATTATATGTAATGAAAAATATGGTAGCTGTAGGACTTGACTCGCTTCTGGAAATATAGTTTTGCTTTACCCCACTTAATACACATAAGAGAAAGAGAGAGATATATATGAATGCAAATTTGGCGCGAAATCGTTCGATGAAACCAATTTAGAAATCGCCGGACGATAATAGAGGCAAAATTACATCGTATCGTTCATCGATGGAAGGCTCGATAACGAGGTTTTAAAAAGTCGTACGAAACGCTAATGTCATAAAATTGCAAGCTTGAAACTTACACATAATATTAATTGCATCAAAAGTTAATAGAAAAACAATTGCTGCCACCTTGGTAGAGATGAAAACCTTGCAGCTGCGACCTTTAAGTTTGCAAAATTAAATTATTATATTGTATTTGCGCAAGGCTAATTTTTTTATGACAGAATATATGTTATAATGAAAATCGATCTGTCGGTGATGCTTTCGCGTTTTTTTTTCTCAGTGTACAATATCTCGTCTCAAATTGCAGGTACCCAATTTCTCCCCATCTATTCCTATTTCTATTACAATGCTACTGGTTAGCAGATGTGCCAATCTACGTCTACGTAATATCTACTTAAATATACTTGAAGTTTACTAAACCTCTTTTAAATCATTGTAAATTGCAAATTCGGGATTTTGAATAATCAAAGTCGGTTGTCACTCAAAATGTTGTTCACCCTCTTCCCCTATACCCACAAATAGTAAGCAATAAATATAGTTTAAAAAAACTAAAAAACACGCTTTTATAATACATCGAACTAAAAAGTGAAAAATAATTTTTCAAATAAGCTTGAAACAATAATAAATGGAAAATTGTGAAAAAGCGTCGGGCGCTCGATGTACGAGAAATATGGACAAACGCCCCACGCTTTTCTCACAATAATACTAGTATTTTAAGCTTATTTGAAAATTATTTTTCACTTTTTAGTTAGATGTATTATAAAAGCGTGTTTTTTAGTTTTTATAAACTATATTTATTTTTTACTTTTTAGTTGCTGAAAAAAAATATTTTTTTTTAGCCCTGGGGATTAGAACCCACGATCGGTGATTCTGGCAATCGAAAACCCGCGCCTTAGACCGCTCGGCCAACGAACGAACTTGAGTTAGTGGGATATACTGACAGTAATAAGCCTTGATTTTAGTCCAAAGGAGAGTTACAAACATACATACAGGTGAAGCTAATATAAGCGTGTTAAAAAAGACGATATTGCATTTAGACGAGAGACTATTATGGGGGAGCATGGAAGAGTCTTATTACAAGGATTGTTTATGATTATAATTCGAAATTAACTTAGCTTAAGGCTCTATAACGCACAAAAGGCTTTAAGAATGTATATTTGCATTCTCAATGCCAGTTATTATTAGTTTAATGTATGTTTCCCATTGCAACTTATTGAAGTTCCTTCAACATAATAAATTTAGATCTGAACACAGAACAAATATTTAAATTTAAACAATTTGAATTTAGACAAAGTTTCTCAGGCCAACTCTGGCACGCTTAGAATTCTCGAGGAGGAAACCAATCGTCCTTTTTATAAAGTTTACCAAATTGACTGTGGTTGGCGTCATGTCGCCATGTTATTTTTGTTAAACTAATTATTAAAATCGAAACACTGGCAAAGGTGTGATTAATTCGTCTAAATTACTGCTCATGGAGGAAGGATAATTAAGAGTTGCCGTTTCTTTGAAGAAATATGGCAACAGGTTTGCTTGCAGCGCCGCCGGTAAGGGATTTGTCCAACTATTTCTCAGTCGGTAATATAGATACCTGCATATTTTATTTTATTTAAAAATTAGCGGGATTTTGTTTGTAGCTCTACTTTAATTAGTATAACTAAAATTTTGCATTTTTATTGGCATTTTTTACAACACAGATAAGGTGTAAGATGTAACAAAATGCCAATCAAAATATAAAATTTTATGACCCATAATTTTAGGAAGGGTAAAATAATTTAATATAAAATAATTGTATTATCTATTATATCATTAAAACTAATTTATAATAAATTTTCTAAATAAACAATATTTTATATATTTATAAATCAACTAAAACTTTCTGTAAACTTGGGTAGGTAACAAAACACATTAAGGAGAACCATCCATATAATCTGAAACAGAAAAAATTCAAAGTAGTATTTTAACTTCATATTATTTTGAATCTCTTTTTTCTTTTAGACATTGTCACAGTATTATACTTTCATTATAATATTTTATAATTAATAATGGTAGTCCCTTCATCTTTTAATTAGTTGTAGTACTTTTAAAAAAACAGATGTCTGCGGGATCAAGCTTTGAGGTCCTTCTTTGATTCGCAAATTTTACTTTGCTGTTTTCTAATTATAAAATAGAGTTTATTCTCCCTTGGAGCTAACCACTCACTGGATTGATTTAAAAATCCAAGAGCTAATTATTGTTTTTTAGGTAATAATTATATTTCATTGGATGAAATTTTAATCGAATGTAACTTTCTTTTCACTGGTAATTTGTTCGACGGTATGATAACAATATTACTTTAGTATTACTCTTTACTGTTAATTTAGCTTTCAAGGGTACCAAAGGTAAAGCCAATTTACAGTCTTGTAACCTATAAATGGTTTTTCGCAAGTGGAATGATGAAGTTTATGCGGCATCATTTAGTTCCTTGCTTAATATCGGAAGGAAATAAAAAAAATATGTTCTTAAAATGTACAGCATAAATTGGACAGTAAATTGTACTATTTACCTTTATACAAACAACGCTATTACAATTAGATATTATGAATTTATTACGAACAGGACCTCCTAAACACATGTTAAAACATCAAAATATCTTTGCTTAATTTTAAATTTAACATGTTTAACTAAAACTAAAATTAAATAAAAGTAAAAGTACTTACCACGTTTTATTCAGCAACCATAACCATATTGTTTTGTTCAGTTTTGTTATTGTATCGGTTCGAACGGGTGACAATCCCAAAGTCAGATTTACAATGTACAAATAATTGATTAATTCATGTTTTTCAAATAATTGTAGTATTTATATAAATATATAATTTTAAAACAATACTTACCGTGTATTACTTTTGTTATTAAGCGAAATATATTTGAATTATTCAATTATTCAGTGTACTTTAAATTTAAATATCATTTTATTATTGTAAAACGGACTGATATGCGCGGATGTGTTGCGCACTAACCTGTTGATATAACGCGCATATGTTATAAGCCCCCCTGTTACTGCTTTACTACAATTCTAAATGTAGTCTAGTGTTGTAAATAAAGTTTTAATATGGATCTATAATATTAAATGGTGTTAAATGTTGTCAGCATTTTATTTCCTACCAACAGAATGATAACCCAGCAATTTACAGTCCATTGCAGTTGGAGGAAAGTGTAGAAAATGTAGGTAAACACAATGCCTCACACACAACTATCATAGTTGAAGGTGATTGCCAGGAAAGTACGCAATTTATTTTGAAATATCACAGCCAACGACGAAAAACTCCTAGACTAATCCATTCATTCATAATTAAGCCCTTATTTATTGCTAGTATTTAAATTATGTTTTATATTAGGCAGACAGAGCTTTCGCACTGACTGACGCATTGGAATCTCAGAGTAGTACAGAGAGGACAGTAAACAATTTTTTTGTCGCCTTGATATCGCATGAAAGATTCTAATTAGAGAGAAATAGATTAATATCTCTATCTCTATATTTATTTTTCCAGTTATTTTTAGACAATTTTTTAAGTTTTTACTTAAATTCGTTCAAGTATGGTGGTGTTAAAAGTGACTTTGATTTGTAGAGTTTATTTTATGTGATTTTAAATATAAAAGAGGAAGTGAGGTTACGTTTCACTCGTTAATATTATTTCTTACCGAAGAACATGGGCGTCGTTTTAGGAACTTTGAATTACACAAACAAAGTAGGAAAAAAGAGTAGTGGTGAACCTATGTCACCTAAAAAAAAATAGAAGGTATTATGTTTAATAAATCTGGCGAACCAATAATATGTTTGAATGTTTTGAGTATAGTAATTTCTTCAGATACTAAATTATTTGGTTATGGGCCTTCTTTAAGAGTATTAAAGTTGCCAACAAATAAAAGAACTTATAGTTTGAACAAAAGTACCTCATACACTTCAATATTCAAGTTCAAGGTATGACTCTGAAATTCTCATCAACAAAATTTGAGTCACCATTAATTAAAAAGTAAATCAAACATTGGATTTGATCTAAGCTGATACATTAAATTGTATATGAATACCTATTTCAGAAAACCTAGATATTTTGGTAACTTTACATTGAAGTTTCTAGAAAATCGGTCATTACGAAGATTTTTTTGTTGCCAACAGTACTGCTTCAAACTTACGAAACAGAAATAAAACATTACATACACAATGAAGATGAGTGAAAAAGTAAAATAACCCAACGCAATCCGTTTACGTACGCTACTGCTAAAGATTCTAAAATGAACGAGAAAGCCTACATTAGAAAAAGAAACAATGATTTTATTAGAGCGACATCAACATTGTATAGATTTATGCAGTGGTAGCCTATCTGTCAATATATTATCTAAGATTGGAATGAACGAGACAGGTGCTAAATTGAGAAAGGATAGTTTGTAGGAATTTGTTTATTTGAGGTGCGAGTACGCGATTTATGAATGAATAAGTATTTAGAATTGTTGTCACACTTTTCTGGAAATCACCATCAACTATGCAACGAGAAAAATACATTAAACTGATAATAATTGGCATCAAGAATTCCAATACTTCCATAGTGTAATTTTGTAAGCATTTTGTGCGTTTTAGAGCCTTGCATTTATAACCATAAACAGTCATTGTAATAAGGCTCTCCCATATCTCTCATAAAAATTTGACAACTATATATGTTTAACACGGTAAATACTTGTAATTCGATTTTTGTAAACAAAATTAGTC